GTCTCTGACTCTTTAAGGCACTAGATTCCCTTCCTATTTTCTTCATGAGATAGCACGTGGGCTCTGTGTGCCTTAGCCCAAATTTTTTTTTCTGAATGAGAATTTGAGTGAAGTTTACTCTTAAATTATGCCTGTTACCCAAAGTTATAAAGATTGTTGTGTCAGAACAGGAAATGGAACCCGGAAATCAGGATATTTCCATTTGATTGTTTTTTCTTCTGTATCATTCTGCCTGTAGTAGAGATTCAGCCTTTTTCAGGGCTGAAGAAGCTGGACTAGGGCCAGAAGGATTTCCAAAACTTGGTGTAGTTGTCAGAGTCTGGGGATGGTTTTGAATTTAAAGGGCCAAGAAAGTCAGGAATATTTAGGAGCCCCATTTTCTAATTCAAGACCAGGAAGGGGGTGGGGTGGGGACTGGGGAGACCAAGGTATTATGGGCTGAGACTGTTAAATTCCCTAGCTACAATTTGAATTTTGCTGCCCCGTCTGGTAGACAACATTAACACCCTCATATTTTCCCTGTGCCTTCAAAAGAGGTTGCTTTTTCTTTCTTTTCGGTGGCATCCTGGACATTGGGAAAGTCCATAAAGAGCCTGCCTTAAGTTGAGTCTTAGAAATAATTCTGTTGCTCAGTTACTTCTCCTCTATGTCAGGAGTAAGGGAATGCCAGGGAAGAGCCAGAGGGATGGCATTGCCCCTTACCCAATTCCTCAGTGGGCTCAGGGCAACAGGTGTGTCCTGTTTCCTAGTATGGGGGGTAATGGTGGCACAGAGACTGTAACAGATTTCTCATCTGCTCACCTTCTTGCCCAGCTGTTCTATAGGTTAGCAGTGCATGTCTAGTCCTATTTCTGATGAAAGTAGACTTTGTTCTTTGGAGGCTGATAATCGTGCCCCATGGGGGTGTAATCAGGGAGAAGGTATTTAATACAGGGCAGGCGGGAACAGGCGGCCTGTCCCAGCTGGCAGATTGCAACATGACAATTAGGTATGGTCTCATCTCTCTCCACTCCTCCCTTTACTGTCCCAGCCTATATACAAGAGGTGAAGAATGAATGTTATGCAGGAGTAGAGTAAAGGGGTGGGAAGGAGAGGGAGGAGCTTTGCATACTCTTTTTCCTGGGATTTGGAAGAGGAAAGCTCTACTGTGATAGACTTCATATGGTAGATAGATCCAGCTGTGTGTCTTTTGGCTTTTTTGTAGGAGTCCAAGATGCCTCTGGACTGATCCAGGCAGCAAGAGTTCTCAGGGTTTATCCCACCTTTCTTTATCAACTGTTTTTGTAGTTCAGCCTGTCATAAAACCTAGCTGTTTTCTTCCCCCCAGTATGATAGATTGAGGCGGTTCAGGAGCTTCTCTAGCATACCTATGATTTCCACCCTCCTGCACCCTGGTGAACTACAGACAGTCTGCCCACAGGTGTCAGTGAGCACAGCTACAGAGAGCAGATAGGGGAGTCCCATGGCAAGCTGCAACAGCAGGTAATGGCTTGTTGCCAGCTCTGAACCGTGGCTACAGGTCATCTGGTCCAAGAGAATGCATGGTGAGAAGGGGAGGCAAAGGGGACATCCAGGACAGGGGAAGAATAAAGTAAGCAAATGAAATATTTGTAAAATGTGATGGGATGAATGTCTTCAAAGAGCTGTGTATTTCTCTGCACAGTGTAAATACCATGTTGCTATACTATATTACTGTTTAAGGGTGATTAACCCTGCTACCTAATGCACATATTCCAAATAAAGATTTTGCATGAAAAAAAAAAAGATTTCCACCCTCCCTCCACCTCCCAAGACCCATCCTGAGGTAAATAGCGATTCCATGGGACTTCTGGAACCATCCCAGCCCTCAGGGAAGCAGCACTGGCTCAGCCACAATCACTCAAAACTCTTCCTAGGCTTTTGTGGAATCTACCATCTCCCCCCAGCCCCAGCTGCTTTTCCTCAAATTCCTTCCAACCTCATGAATTCTATCCTAGGCTGATGTTCTTGGAAGACTTTTCTTATTCAAGAGAGTCTAGAAAAGGCAAACTGAAAGAGTGGTTTGAGGAGGTCCTAGAACAATGTTCTCCATCCTCCCTCCTGATGTTCCTTCACTGCTCTACTTCAGCCTCCTGCTCTTTACTGTCTTCCATCTTGTAGCTGAGTTATCAGATTTTTTTTGCTCTTTATTCTTTACTGTACCCAGTTGTACTTATTCTCCACAGAGCTTCTCTCTTCCTTTTTGAGGGTAGCAGGCTCCATGGATGTATAGAGAGTTACTGCCCTGTCCCTTTCCCCTCAGCAGAATGTGATTTGTGATTGATTTATGATTTAAGTTCAAGAGTTGGGATATGAAGCCAGATGACCCAGCGGGGCCACAGTGTACATGAATAGATCAGGGATGAGGATGGGAATGTGGTGGCTCCAGGTCCTGGGAGTCAATAGTTTCAACCCTAACTATAAATTATGTTCTCTGTCCAGACAGATTCCCTTTTGATGATCTGCCTGATAATTGTCTTCCCTACTTTTCTTCTGTGGCAATAGGTTACCCCTCCCCACATGGTACTATATACCAAGCCCCCTTTCTGCCATTTAGAATTATTTTGAAAAGAATAAGTGGCTTCCATGCTGATTTCTCAGTGAATTTTCAACTGACCATGGTCGTTCAGTCCCTCCGATAACTTGAGCTGGTCTTAGCTTAGGGTGAGAAGGGGGAAAATGTTTGTTCAAGGCCTTTTGCATTTTTAGCAGCTGAGACAAGCCGAGCTGCAGGATGTGGATGTAACCAGAGCCAGGGACGATGGGGCTTGGAATGGGGCAGATCTGCTTACAGGTAGGGTTACCAGATACCTGAGAGAGAGAGAGAGAGTCAGAGACAGAGAGCAAGCTCGTCCTCCCTACCTCTGCTCACACCAGTTGCCTGGTGCCATGAAAGAGAGGTGGGGAGAAAACTTTGTATTGTAGGGAGGAGAGAATTCATAGAACCGGGGGTGAGGGGTACATGAAGAGACCTGCAGGGAGGAAGTCATTCTTTGGAAGCAGGGGGTGGAGTGACTAGGAAAACGGGCAGGCATTTGGCTTCTCTTTCAGAGAAGATGTAGACTGGCAAGGCATGTTATCCTTCTTCCCCACACGTTTAGGTGGCTGCTGTGGCTTGGTGGCCCCTTCTTTCTCTTTTCTCCTGTCCTGTGCCATTAGCATCTTCTGGGCTGGGTTCTGTTTGCTTGTGGATAGTAATAGTGTTGGGTCTGTTGCCCTCTGTTCCTCCCCTTGCTGCTTCCTGACCATCTGCTCTGCTGGGGAGTCATCCCTTTAAATCTGGCAGCCTAATGGTCTCTCTAGGCCCCTTCCCCCAGGCCTCTTCTTGAGGGAAACCGCTCTAAGGGAGCCTGGTGGCATGGGGGTGGTGAGGTTGTGGCTTGTTTGCTCTCCCACTGCACTCTTGAGGAATGTGCTATGTCCTTGTGGGCCTGCCCAGCATTCCTGCAGAGCGAGTCATTCAGCATGCTGCCTGTGCCCTGTGGGGACATGCTTCTAGCCCTGCCATCAGAGGGAACTCAGAGGTTGTGGCTCGTGCCCCTGAGGCCCAGACCCAGTTCCCCTTGGCCCCACCCTACCTGAGGGTGTGGACTGGGCCGCCCAGACAGAGACCTCTCCTTACATCCTCCCTTCACCCCTCCAGCACGCTTCTTGCCCTGGGCCCTGCAGGAATGCAACAAGAGCACAGTGCCGAGTCACAGCCAGGGCATGTCCTGACAGCAGAAACACGTGCTTTTTCCTGCTCTGCTCCCACCAGCCCCCAGCTCTATGACTGGGATGGGAGCTTGTTTTTTATACCAAAGAGGCCAGTTGAGGTTAGTGCCTTTCCCAACTTCAGGCAGGTGTTGACTGCCCCCATGCTGTAGCTGTGTTCACTGCAAGTGACTATACCCCTGTGCCTTCAGAATAGGATTTGGGAGTTGGGGAAAGGGGGGAAAAGGGGAGTGGGTACAGTTCTCTCCTGGACCTGTCATTGTTCTCTTTCTGAGGTGTGTTAAACTTTGGTTTGTACTGAGGAAGTGTTTGTACCCACAGAAACAAGTGGGATAGCCTTTAGGGGACATTGGTGTTATCTGCTGATGTCCTCTTTAGATTTCTCTCTTCTTTTCCTGCTTACCCCCTGGAGATTTCTTGGTTGTTTCAGAGCCCTGAGGAAGTAGTGGGCAGTCGGGAAACAGGGCATCCAGTCCAGAGGCATGTGGCAAGTTGAGATCCCATTCTGCTGCCTCTCACATTCCTTGTCTGACATTTCCTCTAGAATTCCATAGAGAAGGTTGGGGAACTAAAGTTCTCCTGATTCAGTAAGACTTCCTTCTCTTCATACATACTTTTTTCCATTCCCTCCTTAGTGGCAGTCTTTTCTCTAATGGATATCCTTAGCCCTGGGGACCGAGGATAGGCAAGCTAGCAGTCCTGACAGACAGGTGGCTGACACCCGGTTTCTCCTTTCTTCTCTTCTTGGATTTCAGGAGCTGTCAGCCAAAGGAGGTGGAGGGGCCCCAGGATGAGGAGAGCCAAGGGCTGACTTCAGGACAGCAGAACGGAGGGAGCTGCCGACAAACAGACGGTATGTCTCTGTAGAGGCCTGAAGTAGTAGGCCTTTTGGTGGGAGAAACTGGGGCCAAACTAAAGGTTGGGATAAAAGATAGAAACTTTAGGTAGGAGGCATTAGGGACTGGAACCACGAGAGCTATGATAACTAGGTGGTGGATTTGCTGGACCCTAAACCTTTGGGGGGTCTTGGAGTCCCCTTGGGCTCACAGTTCCCACCCTGAGCCCCAGCGGAAGAAGTGTTGGGACAAAAGCCCTGTAGTATATTAGTGAAAGCTTGTTTTCTGTCTTTGGGGTGGGAGGAGGCCATAGAGGAACCTGCATTCAGGGTACATCTCAAACCCTTCTGTTCTTCCTATCAGAATGCCTGAGTGAATCTCCTTGGTGAGGCCTCAGTCTGAGCCCCACAGGTGAGTTGTACTTCTCGTTGAAAAGAGTCGTCATTATTATTATTATTATTATTATTATTGTTTATTCTTTTTTATTTACAAGGAGCTTAAAAAAGAAGAAAGAAAAAGAATAAGCATCCACAAACACTGATCCACATGTCTTCCCTCAGCTGGGTAAATGGTCCAAAACCCCAGTTATGGTTTTGGGCTTTTAGGGGTGGGTGCTTCTTCCCTAGCAACGACATCATAAGACACTGCAGCATTTCTTCTCATCAGCATCAGTATCTTCATTTCTACCAGTTTGGTGTTTGCTGAAATGGGTCCATGTCTAATAATAATAATAATAATAATAATAATAATAATAATAATAAAACAACTAATAGCTAGCATTTACATAGTACTTTAGGGTTCGTAAAGCATTTTATATATATTATCTCATTAGATCTCACAACCACACTGTTAGATAGGGGCTGTTGTTATCCCCATTTTACAGATGAAGAAACTGAGGCCAAGAGAGGTTAAGTGGCTTAACCAAGGGCACACAGCAGCTAAGTGCCTGAGTCACAATTCAAACTCTGCTTTTCTCGACTTCAGTACTGGGCCCTGTGGCTGCCAGGTTATGTTTCATCTTTCCTGTACTCATCTGATTTCTGGAGCCAGACAATCAGCTTCTTTTGCAGAAACCTTTCCTAAAGAACACTCTCAGTAACTAGGTATAGGTGGTGGTGGTGAGTAGGGGGAGGAATGCTGTCTTGAGAGTTGTCCCCCCCACTGTCTTTTTTTGTGAAGCACTGAAATCCTCATTTGTCTTCTTCAAGTAGTAGCTGAGTATTTCTCTTATGTTCCCCTCTTCTCCCCCTACCTCAGCTCCCTCCACAAGGTTAAGGAGTTTCATCTCTCCCAGGATGACCAGTGCAGCTCCCTCTAAGAAGCCGTACCGAAAAGCACCACCACAGCACCGGGAGCTGCGGCCCGAGCTGTCTGCTCCATGGGCTCAGCAGGAGGTCAGCATGGTTGAATGCCAGGTAACTTAGCTTTAGTGGACACTGGCAGGCATAGAGTCTTGGGCAGTCAGCCAGCACTTCTACTGCCTTGACTTCTGTTGGTCTAAGAAGGAAGTAGTGGGAATCATGGGAGACAGTGGAGGAGGCTGTGGAGTGGGTGATGATGTCTCTGGATGTGCTCTACAATTGTCCACAGTATTTGCTGGTATTCAGGCAGCTTGCCCAGGAGTGGGGCCTGCCCAAGGGGATTCTGAAGCCTCCAAGGGGTTTGAGTTGGCTCAAGAAAGGTGATCCTACACAGTCAGTCCCCAGGGAAGGCCAAGTGCACTAGGAAGGCCTAGTGCACAAAGCACTAGGTTCCTGGACTGTCCAGAAGAGAAAAGATGCTGTTTTGGACTTGACCAAAAGCAGTGTCAAGAGAGTTATCTTGGAGGGCTGTGGCTTAGAAGTAGCCTCATCACTTTAGAGGAAGATCTGAGCCAGCCTAAACCTCAGTGGTAGATGTAATCCTCCTGTAGAAATGCTGAATATAATCTTTTAGAAATGATTATGTACTTTGAACAGGATTGTAATGTAAACTTCATTACATAATAGCCATAATAGCCACAAGAATAAGTAGTTGTAGGAATATTAAATTCTGGCCATACCACAAGTTAAAAATAAAGTGGTCCTACCAAGAAGAATACTTTCAGGGTGATCTAGGGCATATGGAAGGATCATAGTGTTTAGAGTTAGAATGGACCAGCACAGTCAAGTCCTAAATATTTGTTTCCCCAAATATCTTTGCCCCAGAGTTCAGTAGTTATCCTTGCTGCTGTGCTGAACAATCTTAGCGGCTTCCTCTTCCCCAAGGACTTATCCTCCCTTCACTTTCAGTCTGATTTAAGGAAATTCCCTCCATTACAACCTGGCCCCTTTCCTCCTCCCATCTGTGCTTAGGACACAAGTTGTAGAGCAGCCACACTGACTTGGGGGGAGGAGGCATCTCAGTTCCTTCTTTCTCTGAGCCCTATGTGAGAAGTGTCTGCATGGGAGGATCAGGGCACTTTCTCAGCATCCCACATTTGCTGTGTAGTCACCAACAGTAATTGTTTCTTCCCTTTCATCAGGACACCAGCTGGCTTTAGAGCACTCTAGCACTGTTTGTATGATGGGTGGGGGGTGGGGGGTGGGATCCGTCTTAATGGAAGCCTGGATGAAGGAAGTTCTGAGGTCGGTATGTTTGGCAGGGTTTCTCTGTTGCTGGCCTTTGGGGTTAGAGAAGAAGCAAGGCGGGGCAGCTAGGTGGCGCAGTGGATAGAGCATTGGCCCTGAAGTCAGGAGGACCTGAGTTCAAATGCGGCCTCAGACCAAACCCTTGACACTTACTAGCTGTGTGACCCTGGGCAAGTCACTTAACCCCAGTTGCCTTAAAAAAAAAAAGCAAGGGTGGTCAGAGCAGGGGTGGGTGACCCAGGTCTTACTGACTGGCTTTGTTAAAGTTAAGATAGAGGATAGGATGAGCAGTAGCAGGTTCAGAGCTGAGCTTTTGGCTTCTTTTCTTTTGTGCACAGGAATCCCTGACAGACTCGGAGAGGATGAAGTAAGTGCTGTCCTTCAAGCCCCTCATCATGATTCTTTATCTGCCCTCTCCTTCATTTTTGTGACTCGAGTACCTTGAACATCAGAGGCATTTGATAATTTTAATTGACTTATTCCCTATCAGTCCCTTTACCCTAGCTTTTGGTTCTGAGGAAAGAGGTGGAATCTTCATTTCATCATTTCTGTCTCCTCTCCACCTCTGTGGGAAGGACATTGCTGGGCAGAGGGAAGTGGCCTAGCCCTATTGGGCCTTGTGCTGAGGATACTTTTCCTTTGGGTGCCTAGGCTGGATTTTTAAATGAATAATCAAGAAGACTGCACCTGGATGCTCAGTTAGTCTGGATAGTAGCCAGAGACAGGAGGTGTAGAGTCTGACCCTTCCTTCTCATTTCCTTTTCTTTCTCATTCCTGGTTTGACCTTCCCCCCTTCTCAGCTGAGTTCTTAGGACTCTGCTCATGCATCACCTCATCACTGGCAGAATTTGAGAAGCAGCAGTTTGGCTAAGGGTTCCTGCTACAGCAGGGAGTAGTTTAGGCTTTAGACCTCAGTCTCTTCCCCCTTTTATGTGCCTATCCTCTTCTGATCCTGGGTACTCACCTCTTCCCCATCCAGGCTTCTGCAGCAGGAGAATGAGGAGCTGCGGCGGCGCCTGGCCTCTGCTACCAGCCGCACAGAAGCCCTGGAGCGGGAGCTGGAGATTGGACAGGATTATCTGGAGCTGGAGCTGGGTCAGAGCCGGGAAGAATTGGACAAATTCAAGGACAAATTCCGACGGTGAGAGTGGGTCTGGGATTGCACTGGGCGTGGGATGGGATGGGATGGAATGGATAGGGCTGTGGCCCTGCTGGCTGAGAGCTAGCTGCCTCTCTTTTCATGTCTGTAGGTTACAGAATAGCTACACAGCATCACAGAGGAACAACCAGGAGCTGGAAGACAAGTTGCACACACTGGTAACTGGCCACAAAGGGTGCCTCAAGGGCACTGAGTACACCAGAGGGCAGGGTGCCCTAAGACCCCCAGGGAGATCTCTGTGCTCTCAGGGACTTGGGAGCAGTGGTGGGAGGAGGTCAGGAGCTGGGGGAGGGGAAGGAGGAAGGGTGGGGGGCCGCAGTGTGTTGTCTGAGTCAGGACTGTCCTAATGCTCACGGCTGTTTCTCTTTTTTCCTCGTCTTCCCTTCCCCCACGCCGCCACTGCTGCTGCTGCGCTCTCCTCTCAGGCCTCTCTTAGCCACAGCTGGATTTTTGCAGTTGCGTCTGAGTTTGTTTTTTCTCTCTTGTACTTTGGCCTTGCCCTGGGACCCCCCCTGGGACCCTGGCTAATTACCCCTACCCTTTGCTCCATTACTAGTGCCCTATTCTGTCCCTCCTCTTTATACCTGTTCCAGGCCCTGTCCTCTTCCTGGAGCAGTGGCCATGGGTGCCTTCCTCTCTCAGGAGCTATGGAGGGCCAGGGAGCCTTGTAGGTGGCTCTTGGGGTGCTAATTGATGCCAGTGTTGGACAGTGTCCTCTCTGCTGCATTCAACAGAACTGACTGACTGGCTTCTCCATCAGAGGGGCTGGAGCTTTGAGGGGTATCCTGAATATGTGTTCCTCTCATTTCCATCTCCTGGAGTTGCTATAAATCTTGCCAGTGCTACAGAAATGTCAGGCTACCTCTTAGGGCCACCTTCACTGCTTGCCCCTCTACCTTCACCCTCCCCGTTCCTGGGCACAGTACATCCGTAGAAGCTTCCATTGATTCAGTAGCACCTGTGTTTGGAAGGTCCCTGCCTCTGAACAGGTGATGTCAACTGCTCTCAGCTTGCCCTTCCCCTTTAATTCCCCTCTCCCCGAGCTAATGCCCATGAGGAGTCCTTTGAGCTGCAGTGATATGGTAGTGTAGACACTTCTGCCTGCTCTTTTATGTGGAAGGTGGTAGATAGTCGCTGCCCCCTCCCATCCCTGCCCCTGCCATTTAGCTAGCTTAGAGAGCAGGAGAGAGGCCCTGGTTCCCTTTGTCTCATCCGTCCGTCCGTCTGTCTTGTCTACCTTAGCTGTCCCAGCTCCTGTGGCTATCCCATATCTGTTTGGGTGGGGGGCAGTGATATGAGGTGTCAGTATGTATCAGGCTGAGGCTACTTAACCTCCTAATGTTAGATTAAGAAGGCTGAGATGGACCGGAAGACCCTGGACTGGGAGATTGTGGAGCTGACCAACAAGCTCTTGGATGCTAAGACCACCATTAACAAGCTGGAGGAGCTCAATGTAGGTTCCCCTGGGCCTTTTTCCTTGAGCTTGTGGGGTGGGGGGCATGAGCTCTGACTGTGTTGGTCATGAAGTCAGTGCCTTCTGGAAAGGGAGTCCCTTCGTCTTCCTCGTAGCCCCTCCCGTGCTGGGCACAGGGTGGGCACCAATCTTAGTGCTCTACCTCCAGGAGCGCTACCGGCAGGATTGTAACCTGGCTGTGCAGCTGCTTAAGTGCAACAAGTCCCATTTCCGAAACCATAAGTTTGCTGATGTGAGTGTGACCCCCTTTTACCTCCCTGGCCTTTTTCTTCTGTGATTCTCACTTGTAATTCTACTTCCCTCTGCTTTCTCACCTCCCTTTTCTGCCTATCCTCTCTATAGCGAGTTGATTCTCACTGGTTGATGTCCTCCGCTCTTACTGTCCTTCCCACGGGGGTGGAGAATGGGAGTAAGGGGTCTCTTACCATTTCCTGAGCAGAGGCAAATGGGGGGAAGCAGGGAGAGGATTGAACTCCATGTCTCCAAGCAAGGAGGAAGGGGATATGGAGAGAGCTGTTTGACAGGGACAAAGCCTTGGGGACACAAGGTAAGGAGGGGTATGCCAGCGTTCTTCCAAGTAGGGACCAACTGCTGAAGACCCTAGGACTGCCCCCAGGCTGAAAGTATGAGGGTGTAGTTAAAGCAGAGGGAGATCCTGCAGGTGTCACTGCTGTTTTCCTTAAGCTTGTTTCTGGATCTGGGGACAGAGGTTGATTTAGAGGCAACACTCAGGCTTAGACTTGGGTTCACATTCCAGTAGCCTTGGTGGTTCCACTCACGGCTCTATCTCTCCTATGCAGCTGCCCTGTGAACTTCAGGACATGGTTAGCAAGCACTTGCACAGCACACAGGATGCCCCTGGTCATAGCCCTGCCCCTACCCTGGCGCCAGGAGCTGTGGTGCCCACCTCAGTCATTGCTCGAGTACTGGAAAAGCCAGAGTCACTCCTGCTCAACTCTGCCCAGTCTGGCAGTGCTGGACGCCCTGTAGCTGAAGATGTCTTTGTGCACGTGGACATGAGTGAGGGGGCCCTGGGCAATCCTGCCAGTCCCCCGGCTCCAAGGAGTCCCACCTCTCAAGCCAATGGGGAGTGCTGCCCACCAGGCAGTACTCGGGGTTCATCAGAGGAAGAGCTGTCCTTGCCACCCTGTGAGAAGTTGAGCCCTTACCCTGCTCCACCACCCCCACACCCATTGTACCCAGGCCGAAAAGTGATTGAATTCTCCGAGGACAAGGTGCGAATCCCCAGGAATAGCCCTCTGCCCAACTGTACCTATGCCACCCGACAGGCTATCTCTCTAAGTCTGGTGGAGGAGGGGTCAGATTGGGCCCGACTCGGCCCTGGTAGCCCTGCCTCCACCCAGGCTTCACCTCAACCGCTTGCCAGTCCGCCCTCTGTACCTAGTGCTGTGGCCAGCTCGGCCAGCTCTGAAGAGGATCTGCTGTTGGCCAGCTGGCAGCGAGCATTTGTGGATCGGGCACCTCCACCTGCCCCTCTGACCCAACGTACAGCCTTTGGGCATGATGCACTTGCAGATTTGCACAATTTTGCTGGCAGCACTTCAGATAATGAGGACACTGGCCCTGTGCCCTCCTCTCCAGTTGGTGAGGGGTGTCGACTGTTGCCTTTTCCCAGCCCACCCCCATCCAGGGATGATGATGAACTGAACCTGCCCATGAGCCCTGCAGAGGAGCGCCAGAAACTGCTTCCTGAAGAGGGAGGGGAAAGGTCAGGTACCTCTCCTGGGGAGGGGAGGGTTCGATTGACCTCTAACCGTCCTCAGAGAAGCCCGAAGCGGATGGGTGTGCACCATTTACACCGAAAGGACAGCCTGACCCAGGCCCAGGAGCAGGGCAATTTGCTTAACTAGGTCCTGTTCACCACTTCTCCCTGCTAACACTTGTCCCTCTCTCCCCCCATCATACACACCACCAGGTTGTTACTGCATGGGGGATACTGAGGCATCTTGCTCACTCACTCTAAACTCAGGTTCCCCAACCCTCTGCTCCTTGGACCAGCTGCTTCTTGCCATTGAAAAGCAGGGACCTTGACCTTGGATGCAGCATTGGATCAGTCCCTTCACCCAACTTGAGCTTGGCCATCTCTAAAACTGGAACACCAGATGTCTGTCCACATACGGCCCTTTAGGCCCTTACTGATCTGTGCTGAGCACAGGATACCATATCTTTTCCCAAACCTTGACCATCCCATGTTTTGGTCTGCACTGGTTATTTTGAGTAGGGTCGGGGTGGGGGAGGGGTCAGGGAAGGTCCTGTCAGTATTTGCCCCCAAGTCTACTTCTCCCTCAAGGGAGTTTATTTTGGGGGGAAGGGGTTGTTTTTGAACCCTGAGTTTCTATTTACTTATTACCTGAAAACCCTTTCCATGGCAGGGGCTATTGCTACAGGTCCTTCCAGTAGAGTTGGCCCTGTTGGGGTAAGGGTGAAAGGAGGATGGCTTAGGGCATTCTGTCTCCTCCTTGGGGACAGTGGGGAGAAGAGAAATCTGCCTGGGCTGCCCCTAGACCCAGGGAAGACTAGAGGTGCCCTTCCCCTCCTTTGGCTCTAGACTGTTACTCTCAGCTTTGGGAAGTTTTCACATTGATGAGTCTATTTTAAAAAATCAGAAATAAACTATTTTATCGGTAGTATTGTGTCATCTGTACTACTTGACCTTCAAACTTGCTCCTGTCTGGTGGTTCTTCCAGACCAAAGATGCATCTGAAGCTACTCCTCAAGACTTGATGAGATCCCCACCTCAAATCCCTTGATACCAGAGGTGACTCTTGGAGTCCATCCTCATGAGACGTAAACTTACCTCCAGCTAATGTTATAGACAAGCAAGGGATCTTGACCTAGCATTGAGTCATTCTCGTCACCCTTCCTGAGCTTGACAACTTCCTGACCTGGGACACATGCGTACCCTAGTTTCTAAGCCACCTAAGCTTCGGGGCTGTTTAGGGTTAAGTAGAGGAAGAGGCACTAGGCTGAGCCACCTGAATTGTTAGACACTGGATGGCATCATTGCCTTTTGAACACCCCACAGTCAGGTGCAAGGCCATCCACTCAGCCTTTGATGATGGGCCTCTACTTATGCAATCCTATGATCTATGGTGTCAGCCCTTTCATCATGATCCTTGAGTGTGGATGAAGAGGGCAGTCAACACGATGTGGAAGGAGACGCTGGAATGAGGACAAGACCTGAGTTAAAGAGTCCTGATTCTGCCAATTAGGATCACAGATTTAGAGCTGGAAAGGACCTCAGAAGGTTTTTAGTTGAGCCCCTTCATTTCACGGTTGAAACTGACTTGCCCACTAGGATCAGGAGGTAGTAAGTGAATTTTGACTAAGGTGACTCACTACTGTGATCCTGGGGGAGTTATTTAGCTTTATGAGGTTAACAGCACTACCCACCTACAGTGTTGTCAAGATTAAATGTGTATAAAAGCTTTGTAACTCCAGGGCTACAGAAATGTGACCCAAAATGATTAAAATGAGTCCCAGTGCTGGAGTCGAGGAGCAGCACTGCACCCTAGTGGTGACCACATTCGGGTTCTTCAGGAGCTCTTGGGATGCGGACAGTGCCTGCTGGCCACTGTCATTTCTCCAGAGTCCTTTGGAGCCTCTCCTACCCACCCCCAGTGACCATAGCCACACATTGGGTTGTGGAGTTTATAAAATCTACCGAGCCAGCGGGCTGCAGCCAGAGCTGCCAATGCAGCTAGGGGTATTGCCCTGGGAACAAATGTGCCACAAGGCCATTTAGTCAATCACAGATACCAGGGCCACCCATCTGCCCACCCTGGGGCCAGGGGGCTTCCAGAGCCCTGGGTATCACCCCTCCTGAGACGCGAGGGCTTTGCCCTGCTCACAATGGCATGTGTAGACATGTACACATGGGAGGACACACACAGGGGCACATGGTGGAGGCAAGGGGTTTGGGGGTAAGGGTGGAACTGCAGGATTCACATCTCAGTCTCAGCCAACAGACTATCTCCCAGCCCTGATGTCATCAGTACCATCTGGGAGCCAGGATCTGCAGAAAGGGTTAAAAAAAAAGTTATTTATTGAGATTATTCAGATCAAGGGGACTAGCTTGGGGCAAGTCATCCCTTAGCCTGCCATATATGGAGTGGTGAAAAAGGGACTAAGAATTTCAGTGCCTATTTCTTGCATTTCACCTTCCCCATCCCCTGCTGTTCTAGATTCTGGCTCTTACCTCTGGGGCAGATCCAGGATCCGCCCCTCGGGCGGGCATTGAGTTCCCCATCTCGATCCCTCTCCTGGACCCGGCCACCATCTCCCGAGGCAGCCGCCTCCTCTTCTTCTTCACCCTCTGACAGCAGGTCACAAATCTGCTGCTGCAGCTCTGGACTGATGCTGTTCTCAGTTAACACCAGGCTCCGCAAGGCCGTGGGATAATTCTCCACCATGTCCAACAGGGTCTGGGGGTGATTTGTGGGAGGAGGATAGAAGCAGGAGGGATTCGTGAAATACGCAGACACAAGTCTCCTACCATCTCTAGCATGTGTTTCAATCCCATCTCCTGCAGCACAGAGAACAACTTCCCATCCCTTATCCAAGCCTGGGACTCTCCTGATCTCTTCTCTACCTCCTCCTCCCTCAGAGTGACCCGACTGATTTCAGCACAGCAGGAAGAAGGGGCCTCAGTAGCATCAGGGAAGACATGATTCACAAAGCAGGGAAGTGCCAGGTGGTTGTAGATGGTGAACGACCACTCATGTTTATTTGGTAACTTCTAGCAATGTGCTTTGCTTTGGGCACTCATGCAATAGGACTTTACCTGCCCTCTCTGGATTTGAACTTCCTCAATTAGAATGCAAAGGGGTAAGACTAGGACAAAGGGGTGGGGAACTTGTGTCCTTGAGGACACATGTGGCCCTCTAGGGCCTCAAGTGCGACCCTTTGACTGAATCCTAACTTCACAGAACAAATCCCCCCATTATTGGACTAGGAGATCTTCAAGATTCCTGGCTGTAAATCCTATAGTTTAACTGTGTTTCTTATCCCCTCTGGAGGCACAAGGAAGGTAGGGGAGAGTGTTGTATCCATTCTGTGTTCTCTAGGCTTTTTATATACCCTCGAGGCCACCACCAGTGCTCTGCACGCGATGGGCTGAGTCAGTGTGACCAGTTCCTGGGGCTCCTCACCTGGGCTGACTGGTTGGTAAGCCCAGTCCCTTCCAAGTCCAGGACCTCAAGGGTGCGGCTGGAGGCCACAGCCACGGCCAACATCCCTGCCACATGGTCACCTGAGGGAGATACCCAAGGAGAACTTACTGTCCCCTCCCGACCGTCAGCATCTCCCATTGCCCTAGCAACCACCATATGCCCCACCTCCCCTGCTGAGTAAGGTTGGTGATTGGTTAGGTCATCAGGAAAAGATGGCTGTGATTGGTGGGTGGATGCCAGCAGAGGCTGGTATTGGTGGAGCACAGTGATGTGTGTGTGTGTGCGGGGAGAGTGTATAGAAAACTACTGCCTGCTCTGGCAACTCCCCTACTTGCCCAGCACCCAAGGCCTCACAAGCACTCTGGCATTGCCAAGGCAATACTTCTTTGAAGTTGATCAGGAAGTTGAGAAGCAGAGTCCCCCGCCCCCATTCTCACACTTTGCATTCCAAGTGTCTGTTTGGGGCAAGGGGTTTCCCCGTGCCTCACCCAGGGGGTTGTAGTCCAGATTGAGGACTCGGACCTGGGAGCTGTGGGCCACGGCGATGGCAAGTCTGCTCCAGCCCTTAGGGGTGATTCCAGGGTTGGCGCTCAGGGTCAGCTCCTTAAGGCCTGGTGGGAGGGAGAAGTTGGTGGTGCTGAGGTTTGTGACCCCTGGGTCTGCTTTCCAGGCTGCAGTCAGAGACCTGATGAAAGCCCCTGCTACTTATCCAGATGTGGGACCTCAGCTCACTTCCTCCTCTCCCACCCCTCCAAAAACCCAGCCCAACTGCTCTTCTGCCAGGATTTGGAGCCTGCTCACAGCTTAGGGGGGGTGTGATCCCTATTCACCCTTCACCCCCATAGTTCATAATCGTACTACTTAGGGCATTTCCAAGAATCCAGTCCCTTCAGGGCCCCTAAATGTGTTAGGCTCTGTAACCCATACTCCATCCCCTAAGCAGGGTAACCTCCCACCCTCAGAAGTGGAACTGATAAAACTTCTGTAAAGGAAATCAAGACAGCCTCAGGAGAAGAACCCAGAGTCCCAGCCTGGGCCCAGGCCCACCTGATTCCCTTGCCCCTTTGGTTATGACCCTCAGCACTGCCCTGCTCACCTGACTTAGCCCCGTCAGGGGGCAGGAGACCACAGATGAGGTTGATGGCTTCATCCCCCAGCATGCAGTCACCTAAGTCTAGGGCCACAAGGGCAGGGTGCAGAGCCAGGGCAGGGTTGAGCAGGGCCAATCCAGCATCTGTCAGGGGGCTCCCATGAAGGCTGGGAGTGGGGAGAACAGTGGGGTGCTGGTCATTGCTCTCTACAGGAAGGGTTGTCTCTCTTTCGTACCCCGGGGTGAGGGCTCTCCGTAAATGGTGGGGATGGGGGTATGGAGAGGAAGGTGGAAGGAAATCACATACAAGGGGCCTGGGAGACAGGAGAACTCCAAGGTCAAAGCGGAAGTGGGCACAGGTCTTTACCGGGCAGGGGGTAGGGCTGTGGAAGGATCAAGTTTTGGGAGAAAGCTCAATCTGAGAGGATTGAAGGATTGGTGGAAAAGGAGTGGAAGACTTGGGGTGTGTCAGGGAATTAAAAGAGGAAAGCCAGGGTATCCTAGGGTGGGAGGTTAGGGGTATCTGGTTAGAATTTAGGGCATAGGGATTTGGGTGGGCATCCTGCATGGGAAAAGGGGCTAGTGAATGAATATTCAAGTTTGGGAATTAGGTTTTCATCTTGGGAAGAACGTTAGGAAGTGTTGTAGCTCAGGGAGGGGGTGAGGTTCGAGATGAAGTTATGGGCAATATTAATTAGACCCCCAGTGGGAAGTTAGGGAGAACCAGCCTTAAGAAATGAGATTAGTAATTACAAGGAGGTATCCTGGTTCAGAAAGGGAATAAAAGAGGTCAGTTTGATGGGGCAGATCTTGACTTCTGATTACAAGACAGAGCGCCTCAGAGAGGGTTATTACCAGAGCATTCCACTCTGGGAGGGATGATGTGGATATTCAGGAAGTGAGGGTGGGGATGAATTTCCGCAGTTCATAAGATTCTGAGCTAGAAAGAACCTACAGGGATCAATCTAGGCCTCCTTTATTTTACATATGAGGAAACTGCAGCCGAGAAAGAAGTGAATTGCCCAAGGTCACAATGCTGTTATTAAACGGGAGAGTCAGAATAATAGTGTAGAGCCAATGAAGGGGAGATTAGAGATTGTCTCTAGGAAAGGATTAAGGGGGACCAGAATTGACTGGGCGTGTGAGGGTGAGTTCACGGGGTCATTCTGTGTGTGGCGGGGAGGGGGTTAGGTTAGGCGGGTCTCATCCAACGAAGGGTGAACCTGTGTGCCTTAAATAGGGCGGTGCCCGAGAGTACGAATGGGGGGTGACCCACAGGAGACGAGGTGAGGTTCCGGGGTGTAGCCCCCTGCCCAACCATCCCCTTCCCCAGCCCGCTCCTGGGGCACTCACAAGAGGGACTGGACGGAGCGGTTGACTCTCAGGGCTTCAGCCAGCTGCTTGACACGCCCGGGGCTGGACACGACGCCCAGGTTGAGGTTCAGCTGCGCCAGGGACGAGGCTCCAGCCAGGGCGCGGCAGATACGCGCGAAGTCGCGGTCGCAGAGGCGGCAGCCGCGCAGGGACAGCAGGCGCACGGCGTTGTCCCGCAGGCCGCGGCAGATGTCCCGCACCTCGGCGCTCGACAGCGGCTCCCCGGAGATCTGGATGGAGCTGGGCAGCATCGTCGCCGCCGCGGGGCCGGGCCGTGCGGGCCGCCGGGGGCGAGGAGCAGGGCACCCGGGTGTGCGCGGGGGCGCGCGGCGGGCCGTGCGCTCCGTGCCTGCGGGCCCCCGCCCGGGGCTCCGCTGCCCGGCTAGAGGCGGCGCTGCGGCCCGGCTCGTGCGGCCGGGGTCCCAGACGCGGCACAGGCGCCCTGGGAGCCCTGAGCCCCGGGCCCCGCGCAGCGGGCGGCGGCGGCTGCGGCACCGGCTCCGGGGCCTGGGCTCATGGCGCGTGGCCCCGGACGCAGGCGGGCCCGGCCCGGACGGAGCCCCGGGGCTTCCTCCTCCGCCTGCCCCCCCTTCTCGAAGCCTTCTCTCCCTGCCTCCCCTGGGCTGGGCAAGCGCTGGTTACCGCCCCCCTGGGCCCGCGTCCTCCGGGTCCCGCTGCGGATTGCTGCGGCTCGAGCTCCTCCGGCCTGGAGCTCCAGCGGCTTTGCCGTGGAGGGCGGCCGGTTTCCACGGCAACGGTCGCGTCACGGCCTCTCGCCCCGCCCTCTCCCAAGCCAATCCTCGCTCCACAGACAGGCCAGCGGGTTAGCAGGAACACCGCGGAGGAAGGGGCTCGTGACAGCCCCGCTGCCAGTCCATCCAGGCGACCCGGACTCAGGAGCGGAGGCAGTGGGTATGGGCGGGGCGACCCCTCCTCCTCACCTCGCGGGATCGCGGGGTTAACTGGGAGAGATTGCTAGCAGAGTCCCCTCCCCTCCGACAGAACTAGGGTCACCGAGGGGCGTTGGCCTGGACTAGACGGACGCTCGCGGAGGACCACGATGGGGGCGAGCCCTGCGTGAAGTGGCACGTGTGTATGCATGTGTGGAGGCGGCCCAAGAGTCTGTAACACACTCAGCCGCGCCCCGAGCCCGATGTCTCCTTTCCTAGCTGTCTGGGACGCTCGGGCGTCCCGACCCCAGGCCCTTTAATTCGTCCCCGCCTTCCCTTGACTCCTCCTCTCTAGCTTCTCTTCTCTTTGCCCCACCTTTCTTCGGTCCCAGCCTCAATGACGTGCAGCGCCTCGTGCGTGGGGATTCCGTGGGCCTCGTCGGATTAGCCCGTTCACCCCGCGCCCGACAGGCTGCACACTGTGCCAGGCTGGGGGAAGATGCTTTCCTTCCACGGCTTGTCCGGCGTTTGCTACAGAGCATTGCCTTCCTCAAGGGCCTTCTGGGTCTGAGCTTAAGGTCCACAGGTGTCACCCTGGTGGTAAGGGAAGTATTAAAGGCAAAGGTGGGAACTAGAGGAACCTAATAATCAGGCAGCAGGTGTTGTTCAATAGCATCCGACTCTTCAGGACCCCATTTGGGGTTTTCCTGGCAAAGATACTGCAGTGGTTTGCCATTTCCTTCTCTAGTTCATTTTACTGATAAGGAAAATGAGCCAAACAGGGCTAAGTGACTTGCCCAGGCATACACAGCTCATAAGTGTCTGAAGCCAGACTTGAACTCAGGAAGGAGTAAGGAAGACTCCGAACTTCCAGGCCCTGAACTCTATTCACTGCAGCAAAAAGTATGGGTGCAGACCCTGGAAACACTTCCTAACCCTGGAAGCAGCTAGGGTCACAGTAAGATGGCAAGGTGGGCCTGAAAATCAGCAAGTTAGGGCGTTAAAATTCACCCTCAAGGCACTAGCTATTTTACCCAGGGCAAGTCATTTAACCTGTTTACCTTGGTTTCCCCAGCTGTAAAATAGAGGATAAGAAGATTAAATGATAATACTTACAAAGTACTTAGCATAGTGCCAGGCATTTAGTATGAACTAAATAAAAGCTTATTCCCTTCCTTGTATCCTCAGATATCCTCTCACTGAACCTATTTCTTCATTGTAATATAGAGCTTACTATATATCTTCTACTAACTTCAATCAATATTTGTGGGGCTCAAATGTAAAGGTGTTTTGTAACCGGAAGCAACATAAGTGTGAACTATTACCATTACTCTCCAGAAAAAAATGCAGAGGTGGGGAAACCCTGAGCGGGAATGCTTTCTGGCTGGTTTCCCTAATAGTAAATGGGAAGCCCAGAGTTAGTTTGACATTAATATTTCTGAACAACGAGTTAGTATTTTTTGGTTATTTTTGGCAATTGGGGTTAAGTGACTTGCCCAGGGTCACACAGCTAGTGTCAAGTGTTTGGTCTGAGGCCAGATTTGAACTCGGAAACTCCCGAGTTCAGGGCTGGTGCTCCATCTACTTCACCACCTACCTGCCCCTAACATGAGTTAGTATCAAAGAAGATAAAGAGGGACTATATGGAAAGACTATAGAGCAGAACATAACAGTTTGCTCACTCAAAATCTCAGCAATGTAGAAATCAGTTATTGTCTTCTCCACCCAGGGCCACCTTCAAGTTGAGATGTGTTCTGGACCCCATCTCTCCAAGGTTTTGGGTTAAAGAATGCAGAAAATGTCTCACCAGTTTCTACTCAGGGGAAAACTAAAAATGCCCCATACCTGTACTAGACTTTCTCTCCTCTTCGATTCCCATAGTAATTTCAATTGTTTCATTCCTGCACCTAACACCCACTGCCTTAACCATGTAGAAACTGTCTTTGTGCAGTTTTCAGCTATTAAGGGTAAATGGAAGAGTCCTAGCAAAAATCATCTAGACCGTGTCCAAGTGCAGTAACCACATACAACAGGTTTTCCAATAATGACGCAGATGTAGATTCTGGGCTAGATGGGCTGGAAAGTGAAACCCTGGGTATCTTTGCATACACACAGAAGGTATATGCTGGGAAAGGTTAGCTCCAGTTCCATGCTATATGTGAAGGAAACAACTTGTTTTGGAAAATTCTGCCAGTGTCAGATCTGTAAGACATTGCCGTCCTGCTTCGTCCAACCAGCTGACCCTTGTGTCTCTACCCTGATGTTGCTACTCAGTCTTCCAACCCCAGTGAGTTTACACATTTAGGGGCTGCTCCCTAGGCACTCCACCCCAGCTCCCTCAACCTCCACACCCTCCTCCCCACCACAAAAATTAATATGACTGGCTGAAAAGATGGAGATATTTTATAACTACCACCAGCAGAGGAAGGTGGTGATGGCACGCCAGGCCATTGGAACAGTAGCTGAATTTCCAGATCCCAATTAATCTTTTAATTACCAAATCTATAATTAGCAAGATGGTACAGAGAGAATGAAAAGGGGGGAAGACGATGAGGGGGACCCAGAAGGCCCGACATACTTTCTGCCCTGGAAGGACAGCCCTGATCGTGGGTAAGGAGCTCCGGGCTACATACTCTTCAGAAGCTGAGAAGAGATGCAGGGATATTTGTGGGGGAACCGATAGCTCCACAGAAGCCCCAGCCACCATCAAAAAGACACAGATCACCAACACTGTCTTTTAATCTTCTTCCCCATGATGCTGTGGGGACCAGCAAGCTGAACTTGAGTGGAGGGCATATTTGAGAGGACTGGGATGGGGTCAGTGTGGCTGCAGAGTCAGGGCAACAGCCTTGGATGTGGCATTGAGCACAGCAATAGGGAGCCCAGCGACAGGAATGTCCCGGGGGACTCTCTGGATGGGGGGGATGTTGGGACCTTCGAGAGTGTCCAGGATCCCTGAGAAAAGGAAGAAAGGAGGTGAATGCTGGGAAGGGGCAAGGAACTTTTAACTGGCTTAGACTGGGTACTGATGCACAACCCACCCTGAAGGTCATCCTGAGGCACCTGGAACCCAGGGGAAATCTTCTTTCCTTAAAGTCATAGAGTACTTGAACCCTCTAGAAGTCTGTTTATGTCCCCTGCACCGGGGCAGCACTGCACCTAACCTAGCCTAAAGAGATGGTGGTGATCTTCCCCATTAGGGTGAAAGCTCCCTGACAGAAGATCTGGTTCTTGCTTTTTTCCTTTGTATCCTCAATGCTCGGCACAGAATAAATGCTTAATAAATGCCTATTGATTGTTTCAAGGGTTCTTCAAGAGACAGCCTCAGGAAGTGGGGAAGGAGCATGAGGGAAGGAGATGGGGTTAGAGCAGGGCCCCCTCCCCCTTCTCCCTCCTGTTCTGGAGCCAAACTAGAAAAAGGAGCCAGTAATCTCAAACAACCCCCCACCCCACCCCCCCGCCAGGTCCATGACTTACCCTCGACCACTTTGTGGTAGGCAAAGTGCAGGTAGAGTAAGAAGAGCATGTGCAGGGTAGCAAGGGTCCCACAGAGAAGCAGTCGCTGTGTGGGACCCACTGTCCTTGACACTAGCACCGCCACCTAGGGCCACAAAAGATGTCACAGTTCAAATAAACTCGGCCCATCCTGGGACAAACCACTGTGGGCAGGAAGGACAGATGGAGGCCTGGGGTGGGGAGCTATCTCTACACATGAATGACCTCCCTTCACTGTCTACAAGCTTAGTGGGTTGGGGTGGGGGTGGCTGGAGAATCCACGTACTCATGAGGCACACTTAGATTTATGCTTCCTCTCAAACCCCTGAGCCCCCACGATTCCTCTCCCCACTCACCATGCGCAGGGTGGACAACCCACCCACCAACAGCCAGAAGAGATAGAAGAGGGCATGGAGGTGGATATTGTAGGTGATGAAGAGAACAATGCAATGTCCAAAGAGTCCGTAGCCCTGAGGGATGAGGAGAGGAGATGGCATTTGGTGGCAGGCCTGGGGAACCTCCCAATTCCACCTAGAGGACACCTCCCAGTCAGGCCCTGGCTGGCTAAGGATGAGTGCTAGAGAGGCTGCTCTGTCTGCTGCTGCCCCCCACCACCGGGGCCTCTTACCAGCAGTGCCAGCATCTGGAGCATGGTGATCTGTGCATTACACAGGTAAGCCAAGAAGTAAATGAAGGATGAGACTCCCAGCCAGTAGCCAAAGCAGGTGCCAATGGCAGTGCCCATCAGGGTACCTTCCCGCTGGGGTAGGAAAGAAGGGGAGGACTGATTTAACTATATAAGGCCTCCCCCTCCCACTCCCACCTCCCTCACCGTTTTCCTCAAAAGTCTCAGTCCCATTCATTCAGCTCTCCTGAACCCACCATTTACCCTTTGTCCCAGTGTTTGAACACTTCATCTATGATACCCAAGTACAGGCCCTACAGCTCAGCAGGACAACCCTGGAGAGCTCCTCCATTAGCTTCTACTTACGATAATGGTATCAGACGTCTTCATCCCATGTAGAAGAATGGCAACCAGGGTGAACACCAGCATGAGAGGCCCATAGAGTTCGCCAGCAATTTTCTGTGAAGACACTAGCTCAGCTTGTGATGTTCGAATGACTGACTGCCTTCACACTCCCAGGCCCCTAACATCTCTCTGGGAGCCCTTTGCCTCAAGTCTTGGGCCAGGTTTCCCACCCCACCTTTTAGTGGCTTTGCCCAGGCCTTCCCAGTTCCAGCACATTCAAACCACTGCTCCTTCCTGGGCCATAATTTTCTACTTGGGGACATTTCTGGGGACATCGAATGACAAAAGGGATCATTATCATTTACCTGGGGAAAGTTGACCATCTTGACAGGGATCATGGACTCCAGGAGCCTATAAGATAGGAAGTGTGAAAGCAGGGCAGGGTTGGGCAGGGTAACTTTTTCTAGGATGGATCTCTTTCTTCCACTATGAGCTGTCACCAAGAAGGGAAAGTCTTTGAGGATGACTGCACCAATGGGAAATAAGGAGATCTTGGAGAGGTCTAGCTGGGGAATCGGGAGATGGTGGATTTCATGAAAGTATGTTTATGTTACTGGGGGTGGGAGTGGGTTCTAATGTTACTGAGAAACGATTCTCCTGTTTTCTCTAGACCAAGGGCTGAACTTGAGAACCTAGAGGGCCACATATGGCCTTGAGGCTGAAGGTTCCCACCCCTGCTAGGATTACTGGATTTAGAGTTGAAAGGCACGAGGCAGTTCAAAACTTTCATTTTATGGATGAATAAAAAGGCTTGAGAGTCTAAAAGACTGGTTCAAAATTATAGTCATACCTTTATATCTTGATTACAGTTTATAAAACACAATAGAACAGTCCTATAAGTAGGCATGGCTAGTATTATCCCTATTTTGCCAATTAGGAAACTGAGGCTCAGAGACATAAAGTGACTTACCCCAAATCTCAGAGCTACTCAGTATAAAAGCTTAGATGTGAACCCAGGTGCTCTTTCCACTACAGTATCAACATCCTATGTTATTGAATATTAATTATGTTCAAGTCGATATGTTAAGTATTGGAGAGAGAAAGGGTGGTAAGAAACAGGCACTCATCTTAGGGGGCTGGGAGAAAGGCTAAGCACATTAATGACTGTGATAGAAAGGGAGGAAGAGGCAGGAGAGATGAAAAAACCCCACCTCTCTCCTCTTAGAACTTATGTGTTCTTATGAAGAACCATGTAGAGCATGACCTTCACAGGAGCCTGGCCCTGAGATTAGGATCCTACTCCTAGCCCTAGGCCTGTAGAATGAAAGACACCCCCCCCACCCCGGGGCTTGGCCAAGAGGGTGTGTGTGTGTGTGTGTGCGTGTATGTGTGTGTGTGTTGGGGATCAGGGAAGCAGAGAGCATGGCTGCTGTTGCAGGCCTGGCCCAAGCTGGGAAGAAAACTCTTACCGGCTTCGCACTTGGGCAGGCTCCACATCAAAGTAAGGCCTGAGGATGTCGATATTAGCATAGAGGCTGAAGGCTTTGGAGGCCTGTCTCTTCCCTGCCTGCCACATCTGAGAGAAAGAAAAAAAGAAGGTGACCCACTGAGATCCTACTCCGGTTTCTAGAAACTTGCTCTGGGCTCTGTTGCCTTTTTCTCCATGGAAAAAGTTGCAGGTATCTTCCAAAATAGGAGATAATCCTGTCTGTCTGGCATGATACATACCACTCGAAGATAGCTTAGACAGAACCTTGCTTCTCCTTAGCCCACCAGAAGCTCAGTATTGCTTACTTGATCAGCCACCTGTCGACTCAACTGTCCCTTGAAACCTTTCATTCCCAGGAATTCTCCATCCTCCTCCTCAGCAGCAGCTGCATCAACGTCTACCTCTTCTTCACGGAGCCGCTGGTGCAGCTCCCCCATATCTTCGAAGCTAGATCCTGATGTGTCATCCATGTTTTCCATGTCAATCACTGCTGAGCCTCCACCCTGTGGGGTCAAAGGAACAGTCTGTATCTGATTCAGACTGCATCTGCCTGGTACTTACATCTCATCAGTACTCTCCACCCCTCTAATTGGTTCTATGACTGGAAGGCAGGGCCATGGGCTCCTATTTAAAGAGGTGAGAGGTGTGTCTTTCTCCCTGTTTCCCACCAGCTAACTACTTTGGGACTTCACCTCAGGTATCTTTCTGTTGTCACCTTTTCTGTGTTGTCTTTCTCTGTTAGATTATAAGTTCCTTGAGAACAGGAACTGTCTTTATTTTTATCTGTATCCACAGTGCCGTGCTAAGTGCTTAATAAATATTTAATAACAGGCTGATCTTTCTGATCCATCCATTCAGCTCAGTAACACTGTTCCTTTTTCCCTTATCTGAAGACTGGAGTTGTGGGTGGAGTGAGGAAGGCGCTTTGTCCCTCAGTTGTTAGACTTTGTGGTTTTCCTAAAATGTAGATTTAGTTATGACTCTGAGTGTACACATATACATACATGTGTACACACACACACACACACACACACACACACACACACACACAGAGCTGGCATTTCAAGTCCTCCACAATCTGGTTCCACCCTCGTTTCCAGGCTTATTTCATATTATTCCCATTCATATACCCTTTAACAAGCAAACTGGCCTGCTAACTATTTCCATAGCGGTCATCTCTTGCCTTTATAACTTTTGCACAATGTTTCTCACACATGTTTGGTAGTCCTCCTTTACCTTCAGCTTGCTGTACCTCCAGTTTCCTTCAAAGCTCAACTGAGGTGCCACTTCCTTGATTCTTTTTCTACTCCCTTTAATTATTAGCCCTCTTCCCATTAAAATTACTTTTCATTTACAAAACCTGTAAATATATTCTTAACCTCACTCACCCTCCCTCACACCCAGAAGAATGAAATTTTGTGAGGACAGAGACTATCATTTTTCTCTCTGTGTCCCTAAAACCTAGGGCAGTGGCTTGCACATATAATAAACATTTTATCTGAAATGAATCTTCCTGTGTCTCAATTCTAGCCGTTTGCTGCAAAATTTTGAGACTTTTCAGGCTCAGGCTCTACATTCTAGCTAGACAAAATCACGTCTTGTCCTATACTCCTGTTTCCTTCTCTCCAATGAGGACAGACAATGAGTTTCCCTGGAACATCTTCTCCCCCAATCTCCCCCCACCCCCATCAACAAATAGAGGCAAAGAGTCTCCCTTATCAGATCAAATTTGGGATTCCAGAATACATTCTTTGTATGTTTCCCCCCATGTAGAAGTATTCTCCACACCTGGAATGCTGTCCCTTCCACTTGACTGATATCCTTTAAGGTCCAGCTTACATGCCGAGTCTTATTAAATGCTTTCTGATCTCTCCCCCTCCCCCATCTTTACTTCCTCTTGGAATTACTTTATATTTACTTAATTTGTAGTGTCCTCTACTCCAAATAAAGCTTTTTCTCTATTAGCTATTTCTCTTTCAGCTAGAATCTTTCATGGATCGAGTTTTTCCCTCTACCAAGATATTTATCACAATTCCTTAAGTGCAAGTACTGAATTTTGAAGTTCCCTGAATCTCCCCGAGGACGTAGTAAAGGCTCCATAAAAATCTGTCGAAGGAGTGAATTAATCCTCCTGAGTGGGACAATCTGAGGCCCTGGAGGCCAACCCACTCCCTGCCCGCTCTCTCGAAATACAAGGCGCATCCAGTCAATGCTGCTGATTGGCTACTAACTTTCCTGGTGGCTTGTCTCAAGCTGAAAGCCAGATTCTCTTTTTTCTCCAGCTCCACGAGGGTCTGGAGAAAAAGGGGTGCTACCTGAGGGGCAGACCGAGGTTAGATGTGGAGATGAATTTTCTCGGCCCTTACTACCTTTATGGCCTTGAGAAAGTCGCTTTCCCTTTCTGGGTCTCAGTTTCCTCTTCTGTAAAAACAAGGGCACTGGACTAGATGGTTTCCAAAGTACGCTCCCAACTATGAACTCCCAGGATCCGGCATGGGACTGGAATGGGGAGGTCACAAATATGGAGAGAGACCCTGCGTTGTCAGAGGCCATAATGACCTCGCGACGGATCTGTCGGCCTCCAGGCCGCCCAGTCCAGGGAGGGGGAGGGGGTAAGGAGGGGGTCCTAGGGACATTACCTGGATATTTTCCTCGAAGCCCCCCCACTCGGGAGAGGCCCCATTCCGGGTACCTCCCGCCGGGGCCACCGGGCTTGCCATGTCCCTCGAAGGTTCCCGTCACTTGGGCTCGCGCAGCTACTGCGCAGAGGGGTGGGGGAGGGCCCAGCCCCAGGTAGAGAAGGTGGGGTGGGGGAGACAGGCGTCCCCCCACCCTGAGATGCTTCAAGAAGAAGACGACCGGATGTTTAGGCGGCTCCACCCGGAAGCTGCAGACGTGGAAACAAGCGGTTCTATTCTGTCTCGCGAGACCTAGGCGCCACTGGTCGCCACGGCGACGACGCGAGGAGGCTAGTATGCGTGCGCGGTGGGCGCACAGCAGTCACGTGTTGCTAAGATGGCGGCCTCCGGAGCGGTGGAGGAGATGAGGAGCCGCGTGGTGCTCGGAGAATTCGGGGTCCGAAACGTAAGGCTCCAGTGACGAACGGGGCCGGGATCCGTGCGGAGGGCAGGGTCCCAGCCTCTAGCCTCACATGTAACTCTTTGCTCTAGGTTCATACCACGGACTTTCCGGGAAATTACTGCGGCTACGATGATACATGGGACCAGAGCCGCTTCGAGAAGGTGAAGGGAGGCCGGGTGGTGGTGGCATGGGGCCCGCGAGGCTGCACAGGGGCCAAGTGGAGGCCTTCGGAGGGCGGGGGGAGGCGAGCCCTGGAAGCTGAAGGACCTGAACCCCCAGCCTGCGCCTCAGAAGGAAATGCAGGTGAATCTTAAACCGATTTTACTCACTGAGCGTTTGCGCCCCCTCCCCCAATCCTTTAAGGAATTCCGCGTGGATGTGGTGCACATGGATGAAAACTCTTTGGAATTTGACATGGTTGGAATTGATGCTGCCGTTGCCAACGCCTTTCGGAGGATCTTATTAGCCGAGGTAGTGACGGTACTTGGGCACGGCAGTGATAGTGGTGGTGTATTGTGGAGAGGGAGAGGGGAGGAGGGAGGAGAAACGGAAAGGAAAGGAACCACCGAGTCATATCCACAGTGAACTACCCAGGCTCACTGTTTTGTAGTTTTGTACATTTCCTTCTGCTTGCTTGTGCTTATTTCCTGTGTTTCTAGGGACTACTTCTTTAGGTGGAGGGGAAGAGATCTATTGTGTTACATATTTCTAAGGATCAATATCATTTCGTATCCAGGTTCCAACCATGGCTGTGGAAAAAGTCTTTGTGTACAACAATACATCCATTGTGCAGGATGAGATACTGGCCCATCGTTTGGGTCTCATTCCCATTCGTGCTGATCCTCGGCTTTTTGAGTACCGAAACCAAGGTAGGAGAGCAGAAGTTTGTATTAGGGTAGAGGGGCAAAGATGAGTCATATGAAATAACTGTTGCTCTATTTCATGTGCAGGTGATGAAGATGGGACTGAGATAGACACATTGCAGTTTCAGCTGAAGGTCAAGTGTACCCGTAATCCTCAAGCTGCCAAAGACTCCTCTGATCCCAACGAACTTTATCTCAATCACAAAGGTGAGTGGTGACAGGGTCAGGGAAGCAAAGGTACAAATCCAGCTCCCTTACTTCTGTGATCTTAGGTAAAAATTCTGTCTTGTAAAATGGAAGGACTTTACAGGTGTAAATCTGGTGATGCTTTTGGGGAAACCAGAGGAGCATCAGCCATTATTACTAGACCATAAATTAAGAGCTAGAAATGACCACAGTAACACTTTTCTTCCAAATTTTGCCCCAGTTCTTTCCCAGGAATTGACATGTTTTTTGTTATCTCCTGTAGTATACACAAAACACATGACATGGATACCCCTGGGAAACCAAGCAGATGTTTTCCCAGAGGGCACCATTCGTCCTGTGCATGATGACATCCTCATTGCTCAGCTGCGTCCTGGCCAAGAGCTTGACCTACTCATGCATTGCGTCAAAGGCATTGGTATGGATTGTAAAGTGGTAGTCCGGCTATATTAGGTTTGGGGATGGTCCAAAAATTTTTGAACTGGAAATGCTAACGGTATCAAGGTGTAGCTTAAAATATGGTAGATAAGGGGGTTGATAATTGTGTCTTTGCTTTTCCTCCCCAGGCAAAGACCATGCAAAATTTTCTCCTGTAGCCACTGCCAGTTATAGATTGTTGCCAGATATCACTCTACTTCAGCCAGTAGAGGGGGAAGCAGCTGAGGAGCTGAGTCAGTGCTTTTCACCTGGCGTCATTCAGGTGCAAGATGTCAAAGGTATCGGTAGAAAGGGATGTTTACAGCCTCATGTCTTAGAAACCTTGAAGATACTTTTCAGTTGCCACATATTCTTAACTGTTCTTTATCAGGATTCTTAAATTTATAGCATCTTATTCATAGCAGATACCTGATGATTGTTGTATTGTTCCCTCCTAACCATAACACCCTGCTTTGGAACATTTATGAAGCCTGCTTACAAGCTGTTGACCACAGATAATTCAGTTGAAGTCCTTAGAAATCTGATTATACTTATGTACTTCATTAAACTAGTTTTGCCTCTTCTGACAGAATCAGTAATCTGGTTTATTTTTTCAGGAAGAAAAGTAGCCACAGTTGCCAACCCCCGTCTGGATACCTTCAGCCGAGAGATCTTTCGGCATGAAAACCTTAAGAAGTTGGTTCGGCTGGCCCGAGTACGGGATCACTACATATGTGAGTATCAGGGGGAGGGGAAGTATAAGTGGTATGGGAATAGACTGAAAACCATACTCCTATCCCATACCCTAGGAAAGAGATTTCCTTTTCTCAGCCCTGCGGCTGAATGCCGTGTATTGTCTCCTATAATTGAGATTTTTACATGTAGGCTATCTCTTTATTATTTGTATTCCTAGCATGCATAGTAAATTATTAAATGTTTTTACATTACAGTCTCAGTGGAATCAACAGGTGTCTTGCCACCTGAGGTCCTGGTGAGTGAAGCCATCAAAGTTCTAATGGGAAAATGTCGGCGCTTCATGGATGAATTGGATTCAGTTCAGATGGACTGAATTATCTTGGTTCAACACGTGGCTGGCAAGATGGTTCACTTTGTGGGGATACCCCACTCTATCCACAAACTCTGGGAATTGTCCCATGATTCCTAAATAGGCTGGCTCCCTAAAAGACTACTGAAAGAACATCAGTGGGCATGGGGGTTGGAGCTGTTTGCAACAGTATCTGGCTTATAGAGTGCATTCCCCAAGGCAGTGGGTAAAGGGGAGGAAGGACAACAGCATAAAGAACAGCCTTGAAGTTCCATGTGTAGTAGTAGTATATACTATGAGAAAGGCAGCTTGTATATTAAATTTGTGTATCAAACTCAGATTTTTTACTGACATGCAGAAATGTGCCTCAGAGTTAATGTTTCTACAAAAAGGCTCTAAAAACAATTTAAAAAAACTAGCATGAAATCACAAGATGTTAAAAAATATCACCACACAATAAATACAACTGTTCCCTTCATGGCCCCAACTACACACAAGTATAAAGAGTTCCACTGAGGCAGCAGTCAAAGCTAGAAGAAGGCATGTTTCAAAACTGACTCTGGCCAACAGAAAAACCTAAAAATACTACAACAATGCTTGAGTGTGGAGGACAGCAAGTCTCTGCAATACAGATAGATACACTGGATTTGAAACCCCTTCTCCCGGTTTTCCCTTGTTCTTCTCTAACCTATGGGTCCATGAAGTATAGAATCCTCTTGCCAACAACGTTTCCAGCTCATTTTTGTCATAACTCTAGAATGGGATTTCCAAAGCTATGGGTAGCTCTCACACCCCTGACTGACTGGTGGTATTTATAAGGAAAATGTCCTGTAGGCAGTTGGAACTTCAGAAGCCATGAACTCATTAGAGGCGCCTGAACCAGGGTACATGGGAACCAAGCCACAAGGGCCAAGTCATGGGAGAAAAGGCCAATGGGCTTAGTTAGCTCTTAGGAATAGATGTTGCCTAATTCTGTCAATAACCTCGGATGCCCATAAAGCACCTGAGCATCAAGTGAACTAGTTAGGGATTGTGGCTGTTGCTCCTGAGGAACCCTTGCTAATGAGAGAATGAAGTGTACCAATCATTAATGATGACCAGATGTCATCCTCTCCTTAGTGATGAGGCTTTCCTCGATATAGGGAAGGAAGGTCCCTGAGGTGAGGACTCAGATTTGTTGAGTCTCTGAAGGGATCCTGTTCTTGGCCACAGCCACTCGCAGACAGTCCATACCCCTCCTCTCAGCATGCACTTCATTTACTATCTTCCCAATCCAGCATCAAAATAGGTCTGCTCCCCGACCCCCCTTCCCTCAGCATCTGGGGTGAAGCTGCCAAGAAAAGGCATATGTACCAGTCCCCATGCCTGCTATGCAGCCACAAACTGGTGGCAGCACTAGGACTTGCTGAGTTTGGATGAAACAGATGCCCCAACCCCATGTTCTACATATGGTGCAAAGAAAGTACTTGGAAAGGGAGAAGGGAAAAATGACAACAAGGAACTATAGTTCTGCTCACAGCTTCTCTTGGAAATGCTCAGATATGGAGCTCTCAGTGGGTTAGGAGACATCTTGGGAGAACTAGACAGAATAACGTAAGTCCTAACTCCCTTGGAAATGACACCAATGTAATTGCTTCTGGCCTCTTCCTGGAGCCACTTATTGGCTCTCCATCCCCAAGCCTGGTTCTTTCTCCAGGTCAGCACTGGAAGAGGAGGCAGTGGAGACAGAGCTACAGGTTAGCTATGGGGGGGAAGGAGAAGAGATGACAATGAAGGCCCCGGGAAAATTGTTCAGATGGCCACATCAGGGTTCAAAGATGGTGCTCAAGCATCCATCCTCATTTTCCAGCACATCACATTCCAGCAACGGCTTTGGTTTTTTGAAGAGCGATGGAAGATTCTTAATGTGAACCTCCTTACGAAACTGTTCTCCCAGAGGTTTCTGTAAGAAACAAGCAAGACTATTATGAAAACCTGTACAGTGAGACCTCCCTTCTCTTCAAAAGCTCCATCCATTGTTTTATGTTTAGTGACAGACAATTCCTCTATATCTTGGTAAGACTAGTTGGAAGCTGCCCTTTTATATTTGTATTTTAATACCTAATGGTTTCAAGAACCAAGGAAAAGGAAATAGAGTCTGTGTTATTCATAGGGTAATAATAAATAAGACGGTTCCAAATTGAGGCTTACCCCAATACAGCCAGCAATGAGGCGTTTGAAGTGATCCTTTCTGCGCTTGTCAGTAATTTTCTGCAGTGTTGGGTTCAGTAGCTTGCAGTCAAACTGGTCCAGAGATTCCTTCTGTATTTCTGGGATCTGTTCCATCACAGCTCTCACTTCCAGGTATCTGGGGCGCTAAAAGAGGGTCAGATCTACTGAGAAGGATAGGTTTGGGCATCCCTGGACTTCTAAGTATTAGAGAAGAATAATTTTGGCCACATGCCAAGAGTCTGAAGAATGACAACTAGAAAGGCACCAGGAACAAACTGGCAGATTCTATTCTAGTATACCTACCAATGCCTCATATATCTGGAAAGCCAAGTGGACAAGTGCAGCCATACAGCCATCATGTTGCCCATGCATCTGCAAACCCTTTAACACACTGGTGAAAAACCATGTTACTGCATCAGACAGGAGTGTTCCCGAGAGTACCTAAGGGAACAAACTTGCGTCAGTACCAAATTTTTCCCCTCAAGCCTCCCATGTATGCTAAGAAAATTGCTGAGAAATGACCAACTTGTCCAATGTCCTCATCTGAGAAACAAGAAAATAGGCCCAGAGAGACTGACTTCTTCAAACAGTAGAAAATGGCTGTCAAATGACCTTGAACCTAGGACTCTAAGGTCCTGAACCATAAACTCAGTCCTCTTTCCACTAAACTTTGCTAAGTCCCCACCCTCCTTTTAACCAATAGTCCTTTGGCGATTCTGTTCCTAAAGAATCTGGGTGAAGAGAACTGGGTGCGGAGGGAAACTCTACTTGTTTAAGCAGAGGCCAGCAGAGCTGGGTGGTGGTCCTCTGGCAAGACAAGGTGTCCTTCCAGGCTAGGGAAGTGAAGGCTGTGATGAGCAGTGCTGTACACACGTCCTAAAGAAGGGAAGAAGAGCAAATGAGCTTTACTGAGGATTCTGTTTCTTTTCCCGTTCTATTAGGATTTGAAAGCTTAGACAGAAGGGAGTGAATATGTGAGGCAATTTCGTGAATTATTTAATTTTGTAAAGAGAACAAGGAATGATGATAGACAGAGCGCACTACCACCACTTTTGTCATTCACTTACCTCATGCTTCATTAGGCACTTGCCCAGATCTGTGAGCTCGGCCATAGCTGAGGGGGCCACCTCTGTGCAAACCATCTCTTCATCTATGAGCAAAAGGCAAAGCAGTTAGTAGTTCCACCTTTCAGAGAAGACTCCTCACATCTTGTTCTAAACCAGCAGGTGAAAGCATGTCCAGAAAATTAGAGACACCAATCTAAAGTATGACTAGATCCTCTTCCACTGTTAGAAGAAAGCTTGAAGGAGGTTCTCTGGATAGATGTCAGTTTGTTCTCTAGTGGAAGAGAATTGTATTGAACAGTAAGCTTCAAATGCCGGGAAAGCTTTATGTGTGGCCAGATCTATGCCACAAGATCCTACATTAAGCTCCTAGAAAGACATTACAAATCTTATAAGCTATGCTACTACATAAAGGTCAAAAAGAAAGAAAGCTAAGAAATAAATTCCTCACTCACCCTCTCCATCAGCTGGGGTGTTGGTACTGGAGGTGGTGGTGGTGGTGGTATTGGTAGTAGTATTGTGTTCAGCACCTTTCTTTGAAACACAACAAACGGCTGTAAAGAAAAGCTGAGTTATTACAGGAAAAAGGGGTTGTACCATAAAGGCACAGCCCCTCTGGGAGACAAAAACTCCTGTTCTAATGCCGCTCTGGGCCTATGGGATAGGGCAAGGGGGGGGGGCCATATAGTATACTGCTTAAATATAAAATCAATTTTGGGGAAAAAAGTAATCAAGGTGGGGTGGTCCATATGCCTTTGATCTGGGCAGCTGAAAATGTATAGGAAAGTTCAGGGACTGTCTTGCTTCCATAGACATAGTCCTTTCCTTTAGGGATCCAGGTCCCATAACCCCCAGCTCCAGAGGAGAAAGTGAGGCTGATGACTTTGCACAGTCCTCCTCACTTAAATCCAATTCACTTGCACATCATGACATCAGTTCCCTGATGTCATGGTCTTCTTTGAGAACAAAGGACAAACAACAACCACAAGTTGTTCACATGCTGTCTCTTTCTTTAGACTGTCTTTTGCCTTTCTTTGTATCCCCAGAGCTTAGCTCGGTGCCTGGCACTTAGTAAATGTTTACTGACTGACGAATTTTATATATATAACTACTATACTAATTATATATGTGTATATATAATAAAACACTTATACAAAATTGACATTTTAAAAAATTAAACACTATTTTGAAAATAAAAATAATCAAATCAAATCAATTTTGGTGGGTGTGATTGATGAACAATTTTCTGGCCTAAGAAATTTAAGGCTGTTATATTTCTTCCCAAATTTAAGGCTTTGGAGGAAAACTCAATCTTCTGAAAATGAACGACCTAGAGAGCTCATTGTTTTCCTTGCCCTTTAGGTGGGAATTCACTCAAAAATTTTTCGGAGATTATACAGTTTTCCTTGCTCATGTCCTTGAGGTTTTCCTCCTGACAAATCTCTCTCTATTGTCCAACACAAACTCTTTCAGCTCTAATTTCTTCTCCTCTGCTGTCCTTAGTGTGATAAGAGCAGTTTATCATGTTACTGATCTGACGTTCATTAACCACTCCCCTTTAATCTTTTAATTTCAAATCAACCAGCATTTCCTGAGTATGTGTTCAGGACTGACTTTACCTAGTAGGACTGGCTGGGTCAAGAGGTCCTGAGATAATGGGTGAGATAATTTATATCTGAAATAATGGAAAATCTGTACTTTGAAATGCCATAACCATAAGAATTAGGTCTTCCCTAAAATTTTCTTCTTACTTTTTTCTTTCTGTTACTTACTGATCAGGTCCATGACTTCACGAGTAAGCAGCCTCACTAGTTGTTCTTCCAACATCTCTTGAGACTCTGGATTTTCATCTGCAGTCTCTTCTTCACCGCTGGAAAAAGCCAAAAGTTAGAAAACACTGGAGGAGTTGTTAGGGTAAAGGGGAAAAGGTTTGGGAAGCAGGTGGAAAAGCTGGATATGGCTCCAAATGATCTAGTACAACACATGCTACTTTAAGTCAAAGTGGGAGGAATGATGCGTCTGAAACGTCATCCAAGGCATCAAAATCCCATTCACTTATGAGGGTTTAATCAGAATGTCAGCCTACTGATCTTTCCCTTCCCACCTGGGACATCTGAGCAAACACTGCATCATTCCCCAAGAATGGTTCCAACTCCAGCATTTGCTGATGTACTGGCTATCCCAGCTAGGGCAGCAGGGCTTCCTGCCTACTGAACTCTGTGCAGAAACATTTCTTACCATAGTAAACTCCCTCTGGTTGATGACTTGCCATTTCTGGGAAAGCCTCTGGAAAACAGTGAGAGGATAAAAAGAAACAGTTGGAAATAATCTCCCAGTTATTTTAAATAATGGTTAGGTGAGGTGGAAAGACTAGATAGAGCACTACCATTCTATAGGTGGGGGATGGTACAGAAGAAAGTCATTTAAGCTCCCTAGAAATGTGGCAGTTTGAAATAATTTCCCTTTTCAAGCTGCTGACCAGGAAAAAAGAAAAACAAAATTATTTGCAACAAATGAATGATAAGGGTCTGATGTCTGAGATATAAAGAGAACAAATGCAAATATGTAAGACCAATAGCTATTCTCTGAAGTATAAATCTGGTCAAATAATATGAATAAGCAGTACTCAAAAGAAAGGCAAATTACTAACCATCGTGCAATTCTGCTCCAAATTACTAATAAGAAAAATGAAAATCAAAACCAATTCTAAGGTTGTTTGTTCCAGAAAATTGGCAAAAGTGACCAGAGATGAAAACTGTCAATGTCGGAAGGGCTGTAAAAAGGACAGGCACAGTAATACTTTATAAGAAGGAGCTGTGAATTGTTCATTCCTGGAAGTAATTTACAATTACGTAAGAGTGAATAAAATATCCATACCCTTTGGCCCTGAGATCCCACTGCTAGGCTTATACTCCAAGAAGATCAAATGCTTCAAAATATTTACAGAACATTTTTTTGTGGGAGCAGAGAATTAACAACAAACTAGAAATGAAGTAGGTGCCTATCAATTGGGGAATGGCTAAACAAATTGTGAAAAACGAATGTAGTACTGTCTTATCACAAAAAAATCTATAAATATGAAGACTACAGAGAAGCATGGGAAGGATGTATATGAGCTGATGCAAGTGAAGTAAGCAGAACTAGAAAAATAAGACAATTACAAATAGAAAGAAAAGCAAAATAAAAAGTAAATCAAAGAAAGTGAATTTTGTTTTCCTCCTTTTAAAAATTCTTTGCACAAGGGATGGCTCTCTACAAGGGAAGGGCATATCTGGAAATGATCATATAAAAATAGAGGATTTTTAAAAAAGATATAATTCCCACACATCTCCTATTTCCATCAAACCCAGATAGCCATAACTGAGGCTTCTAAGACAGAACAGTGATGACAGGATATAGCTTGGAAAACCACTGCTCAATAATCAGCAATTCATATGATCACTTTAATGGGAAGGGAACTTTAATTCTAAAACCGTTAGACTACCAAGTACATTATTATGATACTCTTTGACAACAGCCTTGAGAAGGATAGCTGGATTTAAGATTCTGCAAACAAAGTCTAGCACAGTATACCCTTTCAGGGTTCCTGGACTGTCTTACTGTCATACTCCACAGCAGCCCCTCCCTCCACAGCAACCCAATTATCAGGAGAAACCTAAGACACAGGAAAAGGTAGCTAACTGCACGGGATTCACAGTCAACAGCAAGACTAAATTTGCATTCTAGTCTTTTTCATAGCATCCTGAACCAGACTTTATTACAGGGCTACTATTTAATCCAGTGAAAAGAAAAGACATGAGAAACCAGAGAAACTTTTGTCATAAATTCAAGGTCTAGAAGAACTTGAGGCTTTAAGGAATTCTTAACCTGAATGGTTTAGAGCAAGAATTTTCAATTTCCTTTTGATAATGCCCTCTTACCATATGCAGATAGGTGAAGAGGGGTCCAAGGATGGGAGATACAAGGGCTTCATAATGCTCTGGAGGGCAGAATAGCACCAGAGGTTTCACAAAAACCCGTTAAGAAGGTAGGTTAAGGAGACTATAATATTCAAGGCACAGGTACACCCCTTAATACACATGCATAACTTTCCCAGATAACCTGAGACAGCCAGATGGCAGATCATAAAGATGTTCAGAAAGTCTGCCAATGGTTTTAAAGATGCCAAGGCCACTGTCTGGTGTTAGGTAAAACCTGTGGACTTGTCTCTTTCCCTAGCACGCTAAGCTGTATAGCTGCTTAATTCTATTAGATTTCCAGATCATATTATCTTCCAGAATGCTCACATTTCCAAGAGCTAAATTTCATACACTGTGAGGAAAAGGGGAAAGCATTTTTCCAATCAAGTTTTGCTTCCTATTTCCATTGGTTCACAGTTCTGGGGGAAAGAAAAGATACTAGTATTAAAAACAGGATGAAAAAGTATCTGGACTGTAGGACAACTCAGATGGAAAGGATCCTGGAGGCCATTTAATCCGACCTCTCCTTTTATAGATGAAGAAACCATGCAGGTCAAGTGTCTTGCTCAAGGACAGTTATTAACAGAGAAAGGACTCGTACCCGGTCTTCATTCCCAAATTCAGAGTTCTTCCCGCCACATCAGTCTGCCTGTCAATGAAGGGTAATTATGCCAATATGAAATTGCTTTTTCACAGAAGCAGCACATGGGCAACTATAGAACAATTATGTAATCTAAGTCTGAGTCAAATCAATAAATCTGAGGGAAAAGGCCTAATCCTAAGAGACTGAACAAGATCTTTTAAGACTTGCCAGTCATGTTCCAATTATATAAGAAACAGCTTTCAAGAATTCCTACATCTCTTTTGTGATTTTCTTCTCTTGCCTTTGGGTTTCAATTAACTGTTCTCTTAGTGAAATTTTCACAAACCCAGATTATTACATCCCTCAGTCTATGCGGATTATTTCTTATTTTCCAACTCTTTTGGCAGATTCCAAAAGGATATGAAGCATGGGTCGGAGTCGGTAGTCAGGAATGCTATTCAAGTTGACAAAGGCAGAGTTAAGAAGCTGGGTGGCAAGGTCTTCAACAGTGTAGAAGTCCTGCTGCATAGAAGAACCTGCTTTCCCTAGGATATGGAAACTACAAAAGAAAATCACCAGCAAATTCAGTACCCACCAATGCCAGTTCTTAACGCCCAAGAAACACAAAAAATGTTATCTGCTCCTGCTTGCTTGAATCAAGGGTTGACTACCTTCCAATTCCCTATTAATTAAAATGCAATGACTCTATAATGAAAAGTGTCTCTGGAGAGCTGTCAGTTGGTTATAGCATGTTGTTATTCAGGCTAAGGTTGTAGGGCAAATTTGCCACCTGGGCCAGTTAGCTGTTTGGTCCATAGTTAGAGAACCCTTGAATTCTAGCCAGCTTATATCCAGGCATGTCACTTGTCCTAAGAGGAAATACAGGAGAATGTGGATAAATCAGAGCAAATATGCCCCCAAAATTAGAAAAGGAATAAGCATGAGATTCATAAGGAAACCATAAAACCAGAACCAGAAGTTCAACCTGTTAATGATGCTGCCTCATCCCCCTGGTACCCAAAGGATTAAGTAATAACCACCATGCATTCTAAAACTAATGTGCCCATGAAAGGGAACAGTGAGAAACAGAATAGAGAGAGATAATATCAGTCTCTTACCAGTTCTCATAAAGAGTGCAAAAGAAACCCTGCATTCGTTCCAAGACTGTTTTGTAGACAGGAGAGTCATAGAGTTCTAGGAGAGGCTGAGGAAGTCCTGGAGGGAGAAGATGATTTTGTTTTAGTTTAGTTTTTTTTTTTTAAATCAGACAAGATGCACCCTCACCCTTCTACCCTCAAGGGAGAACATGGAGAACAAAAGAAAACAAAAGTTACAATCATGTAGTCAATCAAATTTCCACACTGGCCCTGTCCTAAAAAGCACTTGTCTCATTCTGTTTTCTGAGTCCTTCAACCTCTCTATTAGAAAGTAGGTGGCATGTTTCCTCCTTAGTTCTCCAGAATCATGGTTGGTCTGGTTACACTGAAAGGAGTTCAGCACAACAACATTCCATTCCATTTACACACTATAACCTGTTCATCCACCCCACAATTTATGGTTACTTCCTTGGAATCTCATTCTTTGCCACCTCAAAAAGCTATAAATATTTTTGTACATCCTTAAGAGTTTGTTTCACTGACCCTCGATCTACTGTTCTCCTAATTTCCCCTTCTCACTTCTCCCCTTTTCCTCTGACAGTTAAGGTGAGGGTGATGTTCAAATGCCAACTGCTCCCTCCCACACTCCTTCCTTATTGTTTTATAGATATCTACTTGCACATCTTGATTACATAAGATAATTTTCCTGTCCTTTTTTCCCCCTCTACCTCAGTATATTCCTTGTTCTCCCTCTTCTTGTTCTTTTCTTAAGATCATCAAGATGTAACAGAACCACTCCTGGGCCATGTCTAATTGGACCCTCTCTATGAACCCTGTTAATGACAAGGTTCATACACATGCATCATCTCCCCATATCTGAATATAAGCAGTTTATTCTTGTTTAATCCCTTATCATTGATCATTCATGATTACTTTTTAAGGTTTCTCTGCACTCCAGGGTTTGGACTGCAAAGTTTCTATGCAGCATCATTGTCATCAGAAATGTCTGCAAGTTCTCCACTTCATTAAAGGTCAATTTCCCCCCTGAAGCATCATACTCAGTTTGGGATAAGTTATTCTTGGCTGTGAGCCCATGTATCCTTCACCTTCTGAAACCTTATATTCCATGTTCTCTACTGTTTTACATTGGTGGCTGATCCTGACTGTGGCTTTTTAGTACTTGAATTCTATCTTTCTGAAGCTGCTTCTTAATATTTTTTCTTTGTCCTGGAAATTCTGGGCTAAAATGTTCCTGGGAATTTTCACTTTGGGTTCTCTTTTAGGAGGCGACTGGTAAATTCTATTTCTACTTTGCCCTCTGACTCAAGTGACCTGGGCAGTTTTCTTTTAATATTTATTGAAATAGAATGTCTAGGTTCTTTTTTGGTCATGGTGTTCAACTACTCCAATATTTTTTCTCCTTGATCTGTTTTCTAGGTTGGTTATTTCTCCTGTGAGATATTTATGTTTTCTTCTATTTTTTTTTCAGCCTTTTGACTTTGTTTTAATATTTCTCCTTGCCTCGTGACATCACTAGTTTCTATTTAGTCTGTTCAAATTTTCAAGGAGTTCGTTTCTTGGGCAAGGTTTTGCACCTCTTCTGCCAAGCTATTCCGAGTCTTTTCCAATTGTTTCTTCCATAGTTCTCATTTCTTTTTCAATATTTTCCTCAAAGACTTGCATTCTATTTATTAAAAATATTTTTAACTCCTTTTTTTAAACTCTTGCTTCAACTCTTTCAGAAATTCATTTAGTTTATACCCAAACTGTTTTACTCTAAGGTGTTGCCTGTAGATGTTTTGGAGTCATTCTCTTCTTCTGAGCATCCCCACCACCATAATAGCTCCCTGTGTGGTTTTTTCTCCCCATTCTTCCAGACTACTTCCTGATTTTGGACTTGATATCAGGGGTGGGCTCTGCAGAACTTTTGGAGGGAAGAAGGTCTCGGCTGGCCCTGTTACTACTTTCTTGGGATTTTGAGTGTTGTGTTATTCCAGGATCTCAGGATCTTCCAGGTTGGAGATCTTGAAGCTTTCAGTGATTTGACACAGGGCAAACTCTGATTTGTTGCCTCCCTGGTTTGAACTCTGCAAGGTCTTAACGTGGGTTTAGATCTGAACAAAAACAGATGCTGCTGGACTCGGCCCATCAGCTGGTTGGAAAGCTCTGCTGCCTCAGTGTGACAAAATCATAGGTTCCTCTTTGGTTTGGGATTCCTGCCTTGGCTATTGCTCTGCAGGCTGAGCTAGAAGCTGGAAATGAGACCCTGCTCTGCTCCTGCGGTCTAAGTCACACTGCTGCTAACTTCTGAAGTTTCTCCTTTCTTTCTATAACAACCAGGGACGCCTCTATGCTCTTTGTAGGTCCCCTTCTCATTCCACCCTGGACCTGTGACCCAAAATTGTCCAACGAGTGACAAAACTTTCACTTAACACTTGTCCCGGCTGTGGGTCTGTGGGTCCCCAAATCTGAGACCTCTTTTTGGGCTAGCATGCAGCTTTTCCCTGGCTGCTGGAGTGCTCTGCTGTTGGGACTCCTGTCCCAACCCTGTCCCTAGTGTCTGCAGACCTCTCTGCCTTCCTTTTGACTTGGGTCAGAGAAAGGACTCACTGTGACTTTTTCTGTCTTTCTCCATCAGGATTAGGTCTGGTATATTTTATAGATCTGTTAGGAGTTGTCGATGGGAGCTTAGCTGCATTGCTTCCTTCTGTTTTGTCATCTTGACTTGCCCCAGGAAGAAGACTGTTGAGGTACACACTGTTCTACCACTAACCACCTGAAAATCATAGTGCACAACATGGAAATGAAGTGGTCTGCGTTTCGGGTTTAGATTCTCATGTGGCTGGCCAAGGCTTCAAACTGCTTTAAAACTTAAGTAGTTTCTTTTGAAGACTTGAGAGAGATGTGAAGAAATATACCAGCTACTCACACTAGTTAGTAATATACTTCTACAGCACTCAGGACCACCAAAACCATGATTGTTTGGTGTTCTATTTTACTTGGAATAAAATGTCCCCACAATTCATTTTATTCCTGCCCTAATGCAGCTTTTACTAAAATGGACAACAGCAAATTGCTCATCATGTAGGGATATTTAAACATATTAACGCCTTTTAAAAACACATTTGTGTTTATTGATAGAGGGTATGGCTCCTTTAATAGTGCCAGTTTGCATTAGAAGGCTACTAGTAGAAAGAAGTGACCATATTCATATTACCTGTAATTCCTGGGGAAAACTAAAAAGACCAAGCAAAATGGAAACATACTTCCATTTCAGTGGATAAAGAAAAGGTTTTTACTGATATATTCTGATATATAGCTCTCTCTTCAGGATTCTTCATGCTGGGCAAGATTCTAGGATAAGAGTACTGAAATGGCAATTCTGGCTAATGGATAACACTGGACAGGCAAAACTAACACTTTCCCCCTTGAACTGCTTGACTAGTTTAGCCTTACCCACTGTTTTTCCAACATATCTTATGCTGCCTGGCAGAGCTGAGCATGTCTTGTAATCATGCCTGGGAAAGGTTTTGGGTATACTAAGATTCTGTATTATAAAAAAAAAACTTCAAATCAAGCCCAGGATTAGTGAGAAAGGTACACTTGAATTTCTTTAAATTAAAAGAAAAAAAAGTTGCTCTAGATGCCTGTATTTCAATCCACTTGAGAACCAAACAATAAAGACAGAAAAATTTTTGCCCTAAAGAATATATAGCAATTACCAAAAAGGCACTGATACTCAGTTTCACTAGATTAACTCATAAACTGAGAGGCTATTGTAGGACCTTGGCTTGAGAAATTAATACAACTTGTAACTCAATCACATGCTGTTCAGCTTGGGTTCACTTGGTCTGAGTGACTGTCGAGACTTTGTATGCTTTGCATTTCCTAGTGTCCCTTGAATGACTAGGTTACTAGTGAAAATTATCGGTAGCCAGACACTAAAGTAAGTGCCTATGGGTATCTTTTTTTTTGAGAGGCAACTGGGGTTAAGGGTGATGGGGTCACACAGCCATTAAGTGTCAAGTGTCTGAGGCTGGATTTGAATTCAAGTCCTCCTGACTCCAAGGCCGGAGCTCTATCTACTGAGTCACCTAGCTGCCCCTGCCTGTGGGTAACTTAAAGAAAAAGTTGCTATAAAAGTATTAAGTGTATCACTGGTCAAATAAGTTCAAATACTAAGAGATAGAGCTTTGTATTTTACATAAATACTTCATATGTTTATAAACTTATTAATAGATTATATCATTTCATCTTCTATTTATACAAAAGCAAACTAATATTTTAGTCTAGAGATTAAACATCCTTACTTGTATGTGGCATACTCTTGTTACCTAGTGGTAGAATACCAAAACAGGAGTTAGCAAGGGGAAAACTGGATCTTCTTAAGGTTGAATTTGTAATACATAAGTGATGAAGTGATAGTAAGTATCACTTGATCAATCCACGACCCAGAGAGCGTGTGCTAGATATGGGGATGACAGCTACTACAGGAATAACAAATTCTTACAATCATGCTGTATTTAGTATAATCCTCATTTTACAGATGAGAAAACTGACTGTCAAACAAGTTAAATAGCAACAGCATCAACAACAGACAATTACACAGAACTTTTGACTTTGCAATGCAAATGTTATCTCATTTTACCATTACAATAACCTTGCAAGATGGGCACTACAGGTATTATTATCTCCATTTTAAAAATAAGGAAACCAAGGAACATTTTCCGTCAGCTTTTGAATCTCTCTGGATCTCTTCATCCTGCTTTCCTTCCCCAGGAAACTTATCACTTGGAAATCTCATTACGTTGTCAGATTGAATCTGCCTGGTACTCCATCTCATTGTTAAGTACCTTCTGCCTCTCTGACCCTATCTATGACTGGAGGGCAGGACCATGGCCCCAGAGCCTCTATTTAAGAAGGGGGTTCAGGAGAGTCTTCTCCCCATTTCCCACCAGTTATTCTGCTTCTGGATTTCACCAGAACTCTCCATCATGTCCCTGTATAGGTACCTTAACCTCCCTTGCCACCCACTTCTCACCTTCCTTTTGTGCATCATCTTCCTTTATTAGACTCTTACCTCCTTGAAGAGAGACCATCTTTGTTTTTATTTGTATTTGTATCCTCAGTGCACAGCATACTGCTTGACACATAGGTGCTTAATTATTGTTTATCGAATACTGACCAGGAACAGAGATATTAAGTAACTTATCAGGGTCATAGAACTAATAAATATCAAACCTAGGTCTTTGTGGCTCCAAGTCTGATTCTCTTTTTTACTACAATACACCATGTAGGTATAACAAGAACATAGCAGGATGTGAGTGCTGCAGGAACCAGACACACCGAGCTGGTCAAACTGCTTTAGATGCACACTCCCAGAAATTCTTAAGAGTAGGGCAGAAGACACTGGGAAAAATGAACTTCTTGTAGGAAATGAAAAGTTTCTTACCCAAGATAGCATTCTTTTCTACTTCGAGCATATCCAAAGCCTTTGAGAAATTATCTCCCAGTTTAGCCAGTACCTCTGGTGTGTACAAAGTATTGTGGGTTCTGAAAGAGAGAAGTTGCTTTATATACATATGTTTCCCCCAATCTGACATGGAAGAGGGAAGATAACAGAGTTATCTTTGTGCTGTGCCATCAGCCTCCTTTTCCCAAACTGGTATGCAGGTGGAGATGTTCTTAAGACTTCTCTTAACAGGGGACAGGAAAGAGAGCACAAAGTAACCTGAGTTGTTCTTCAGAAAAAGAGTTCAGAATAGAAGCTTAGAACTCTGCCATAGAGTACAGCCATATGAAATGTGGAACTAAGGAAAAGGAAGGTAGCCATTAATCTAAAAAACACTCTAGCAGGGCAACCTCTGCACCAGAGCTGGGAGATGATTTTTCCCCCCTCTTTTTTCAGGCAACTGTGCTTAAGTGACTTGCCCAGGGTCACACAGCTAGCAAGTGTCTGAGGCCAGATTTGAACTCAGGTCCTCCTGACTCCAGGGCTGGTGCTCTATCCACTGCACCACCTACCTGCCCTGAGATGATGTTTTCTTGAACCTAGAGTAGACCTGTTCTGGCTACTCCTAGAGATCTGAGTAACGTAATAAACATCCCAGAACGAGGAAAGGAAGTAAAAAAGAATTGTCCAATTTTTTACATCTTACACCTTCACTCCAACAAGTGGAGGTTGTTCTAACATCACCAGAGTCAGTGTCCCTTGTTGCAACAATCACAAACAATTCTTCTTCGTTACTAGAAACATAAAGCTGTATTGTAGATAGTCTTTCCTTAACCCAATGGAAGATACACTTTTCCATACTCTGAAACAAATTTCATTATATCACATGGTTTTTTTATTTGGCATCTGACATTATAGCCACATAATACTGTACAAAACCTTAATGTCAACCTGAATCAGAAATGAATACCAATGGGCAGCACACACTACAAAACCACATTCTCATGCTCGCCAAAGAAGACTTTTCATTTAGGTGAGTCACAAAAAGTCTCCAACGATATCAGTCTTTACTGATGCAAATTCTTACTCAAATGAGTTTGATCTTAGACAACTGGCACTTCGGGACCGAGGAAAATCCACTTGTTTCAGCAAGGGAAATTTTGTTGCTACTGCCTACATTAGGAGACTAGATACAAATACCATTCCCATTTGAAACTTTCTGGGTAGAGAGAATCTGGGAGTAGAATTATCAATGTCAAAATCCATCTGCCCGAGTCTTAAATAAACAGGGAAAGAAGCAAGTTGCTGCCCATTTCTGTCAAGACAAAGAAAGCAGTTGTCAGTAAACAACATAAAAAGATTCCATACTAGTGTCTCCAGTTTCATTCTTTACAAAAATATATCATAGTCACTCTTTCCCCCTTTACTTCTGTCTTTCCCAAAACAGAGCTGTGAAGTACAAAAAGTGAAGATCTATAGACAGAGCTGAAAAGTTGTAGTTCTTGTTAAATCTATCATTTTCCCTCCCTCACTAAATGATTTTCCACTGAATAATATTCTCAGACTCAAAGCACTGAGGAAAAGGCCAGAGATGGATAGTCAAGACAGAAACAGTCTTTTTACAGAGCTTCATCAGGCAAACTACTACACATGGCCTTATGCTGGTCTGGCGGGATAACTGATTCTTGAAATGGGAAGCCAGAAAGGCAGTTTTTGCTCCCAATCTAAGCAATGACAGCCACAGGTATCTGCCCTGGAACCACCTAAAAGAAGCCCAGTGGTGGGCTGGAAACTACCAAACACCAAGACACCCCATTGACAATAAGAGGAAGTCCATGTATAAAATAGTTTAGTGGCTCTTCTCAGGGAAAGTCTTTTTAGTTTTAGCTAAATTCTGGATCGATGACCTATGACAGGTGTGCAGAATAGAATTCAGATTTAAAGTCCAAGCAAAGTTCCCTGTGGAATAAAGGATACTCAGCCCACGTTCCTGAAATTGAACTTGGTCCCTATAGTCTAAACATAGTAAGGCTGACAGTTTCAGTGACACCATTCTGCTATATCCACTCAGAGTAAATAGCGTTTTCAATAGAGAGCCAAATCCTTGCTAGTTCCCACTAGACCCAGCTTATCAGAAGCCAACCCCAACAGCTTAGGATAGTGAGCTTAAACACTGAGGGGCAGTGGAGTGGAGAAATGGAAGAGGAAGACACAATGTTTCCCCTGGTATTGGGCCTGCACTAAGGTCCCCCAAAAGCCTTTCCCCCACACCAAAATAACTTACCTGAGCATATACTGGCTATTTTTATGACCAAGAAATAGTGACTAGGAAGCTGTTCTGACCTGCCCCCCACAGCCTCCCCTCTCCTTCCCACGGTACATCAAAAACATCACACAGCAACCTATGGAGATACAGGAGCATAGGCATTTACTCTTGGAAAAGTCAGTGCAGTTTGCCATCTTTTTTCCTTCAGAATTACTTACAGTTTTCTCTTATCTGCTTCCACCTACATGTGGCTACTTTAGGAAAATGTGCTGCTGCATGCTTTCTGCCAATATCAGTTCTTGAAGTAAGACCCAAAAAGATGCTAGGGACAGAGGTCTTCGGTTCTTATCTTCAAATTACATTTGATTACCATTCCCAGACTTCAGGAAGTATAAAAATTACTGCATTAAAGTGGCAAATGTTATTGAAGCTACAAGGACCCTAGAGTTCTTCTATCACAATCTTTGCCCTTGCCTATCCAATAATCTTCATGCTAATGATTATGGTAATATCATTTCTACCTTTTTCACTCAAGTGCACTTACTCCAGGATTTTATCAACACAGTTGCTCAAGGTCTCATAAATGGACTTCTAGGTTAGGGCAATCAGCACACTATTCACTTATATGAATTCTGACTCCACCTTCTGCTGAATGCTTAGCACAGTGTCCAGTAAATGAGGAGGCATACTAAAGGATAGTTTTGTAATGAAGTTTCTGGATTATCAGAACAATTTCATCACCATGGCACCAACACTATTTGTTATCAAATGCTCTTCCCATCGGTAGTTACATATCTTTAACAAATAAAGCACCTTCAAGCATAAATTTAAATTTAGCACAAAAGAGTGTATTAGGATAAAAGTATGACTGATAAGATGAGCCTTTGGAAAACAAGAGAGTTCTATATGAAAAGTCAAGTGTTTCCCCAACTTTTACTATCCCCAACCAACAAGTCTGCTTCACTTTGAATTCCAAATAACCAATACAATAATAACGCATCTTATTCTACAGAGCCTAAAGCCAACCTTCACCTTCTTCCCTGAAGAGACAAACTTAGAAGCAGGAAATACTGTCAATATCTTGGCTATTTACCTTTATCAAAATCCAAACCTGGTCTGTTTTTAAAAAAACTGTCATTCTTGCTTGGCCCCATAGCACTACCCAGACCCTCCTGAGGAAGAGAAAATTGCTGATTCAACATTTAATAAAATGTGTATTCAGGTGGAGTTTCTAGTAACACAGGAATTTGAGACTATCAAGGTGACGTTCTGCAGCAACCTTGTATGTTTCCTTAACTTATTTCAACATTAACAGTTTGGGTTCTACCCACTGAACAGTACTGCTTTTCCTGCCTGCTTGCTTCCTCTTACCCAAATACTTGGGTTCCCTAGAACTGTAGTAAGAGGAAGCCTGAAGAAGGGAATGACAAGACTGCTCTAAAGTTCCTTGTTGCTCTCTGAATTTATCATTATATCAAATGTCACCATGCCATGACAAATGAATCCTTTATTCTTAAGAACACCAAGATGGCAATAATTTTTAATCTTCCTAAATCTGTAATACACTCCTCACACCTCAGTCCTATGGCCCAATTCACAACCAACATTTCTCGTAGAACAACTTCTCTGGAAAGCAAGAGAACATGTTAACGCATCAACCCCCTACCTCTACCAGGTACCCAGATACCAGACAAAGAATCTTTAATGCTGCTGTTCTTGACAAGACGAATGTGGGATACCAGGTGGACTACTTGAGACACAAGCATTTTGGATTGCCCGACTATGCTCTGATGCTTTGGTCAGCAAAGGAACAAATAGGGTTGGTGCCTAGTCCCAAATTTTCAACATGGATAATACTGAAAGAAATAAGTAGACACCCAAATTCAACTTTGGACAAATGAACTGAATTCCATTTCTCTCTTTGAAAAATTTCATTGTGATAGCTACCCCAAATGTAGGAATTACATGATACCTGCAGTTTCCAAGCATACTTATTTATGATACATCTCTTTCTACTTATGTCATAGATTAAATCATGGAGGGTGCTGCATAGGGAGTTGTCACAAAGACCTTTGATGCTTGATATTTACTAGCTCTGTGTCATGTCATTTAATCTCTCAGTGCCCCAAACAACTTTCTAATACTCACAGTTTTGAGGCAGGTGCTGATTTGCAGTAATAAAAGGAGTTTTAACACTGGAAGGACCCTACACAGATGACATCACAGGTTCAACTCAGCCTCCTCTTCTCTCCCACAGATCTCAGTAAATGAGGTGAAAGATATAAACATCTCCATCAAGTGTCATCTTTCATTTAGAGAACCACAATGACAAAGCACAGATTGCTCAGGTGAGTAGTTACTTTAATGTGCATTGTTTATGTTTATGTCAAATGCAGCTCAAGGTGAAAGAGGGAATTCGGGCTGGGAAGGAGTGAAGTGAATAGCCATTTTGGAAGATGCAGTATGGATTTTGTTCTACTCCACATCAAAACCAGGTCAAGTAAGAAATGAAGCATTTCTTTTCACCAGGGTTTCACAAGTTCGGGGGTTACTTTAGGAAAAGGAAAATGTCAATAAAAAACCAGACTAGAACCAATCTAGATGCCAGGACACAATCCCATTAATTCCAACGGAAGAACACATATTAAGGCCATGCAAACAAAGCATTAAGTCAGAAAATGACCTATCAGCTTGACCCACCTTATAAGAGCGAGCAAGTTGTCGAGAAGTTTCAGGACCTGCTCAGTGCAAGGGTTACGAAAGATTGGATTGCCACTTGGAGTATAGCCAACCACAAATCCTCCAGCCTTGGCCTCTTCCAGGTCTGTGGGCCAACGAGCCCTTTTCACAACTCCCAGAATAGTGTACACACAAAAGCTTATCTATAGCAAAAAAAAGAAAAAAAAAAGAAAAAAAAGAGACATAAATAGAAGGTGAAAAATGAACAGAAATAACTCTTCTTAGCAAAGGCTTATTTAGTGCTTTGGCAAAAGCAGTATGAGGCCAGCGAGAAGGTGAAGATGTCCCCTCCACTTGCTCACTGGACCTTGTTCTCTTTAAGCCAGCAAAGCCCAAGGGGAGTCCTCCAGCCGCCCCTCTCCGGGCCGGTGGTAGCCTCTGGAAACCTGTTTACAAGCTTCCCCACCATGAGGATACCTTCCAGGGTATGCAACGACCCTTCCACAGGAGCTTATGACTGGAAGATGTCTTGGTGCTAGTCGTGCTGAGTCGAGTGTCTGCAGGATATGCTCTAAAAGGAAGTGTTTGGGTCACCACTATCTTGTCTCCCTGCAGCACAATGCTCCGAGGACTGACCGCAAACCTTGCTCCTGTAACAGGTCTGAAAGTGGATTAACATCTCCAGGGCGACCATTGTCCTACAATGGTGCTCAGTGGTTTAGAGTTTGTTTGGCTGTCATATAGCCAAATTATCAATCTTTTAAATGTCGACTTCTTCGATTCTATTCCAAGAACAAGAGTCAGTAGCTCATGCAACACCAGGGGATGGAAGAAAATTCCCATCATGGTACATTCCGTGTGTCCAACCCACAAAGACTCACTTTAAGGTCCTCTGTCTTTGACTCTGTTTTTCTAATTCCTTTCGTTGTATTCTCTTAGACTATACAAATTCACCTTCTCCAGCAAACTGTTATGAAGACCTTTATATGGGGCTGAAAAAATGCCAGCTGGGAGACCATCGATTTTCCGTGATTCATTTTCAAGAAACTTTTTATTCCAAGGGTTATTTGGAACACTTTGATGTTAAGTAATAATCAGCTATTTTGCTGTGTGAACCCAGCTAAGAAACATCTAATTTAAAAAGAAAGAAGCAGCTTAGAGCAGCACGGCAATAATTCTAGGTCACTTCCCAGAATGTCAATGGGAGAAGCCCAGGACTAGCAGGATGAAGAGACTGGAGAACATATCACACAGCCACACACAATGATCAGCACAGAACTTGCTTTCCCAGAAAAGGCTTTTTACTTACTCGTGAACGATTTAGACCATTGGCATCTTCCAAGCCTGGTTCACAGATTTTGTTATCAGCACCCACATAGGCAATAAAAGCATCAGCATCTGATAGCACTCTGAGGTTTGGGCACAGAGAGAGAATATTAGTCAGTATTTTCATAGTTTCAACCCAAATGGATGCAAAAAAAAAAAGTGCCAGCTTGTACTCCACACAATGTTGGGGTTATACAAATGTCAGCATTTTCTTCCACAAGAAGAGGCTATGGTTACTTTGCACTAAAGAGTTTGTTTCAATGGAGAGAAGTACAAATAATTTAAATCATTTTATTCCTATTTAATATGTACTAAGTAGGATCAAAGAAGGGGAACCTTCCTTTTAAGTGGGCATTTATTCTTATCTGTGTGACTTCTACTTGTACTGACCACCCCACTCAGCTACACTGGAAAATAAAAGCCAAAGAGAAGCATCACAAACCTCAGCCTATACTGTAGGTTAGTCCAGACTAGCCATGAACCACCCTGGCACTGTCCATTATTACACCCATGTTATGAATTGCTGCTGCCTGGAGAACAAACTCTCCTAACTACAACTTATTTTATAAGTTAATTACTTTAATAGAGTATGCTGAATGCTATCACCCCAACCTTACATTTTTATAAGCTCCTTAAAACATGATTTCAAAGACAGTGTTATCTACATAAGCCAAAAAGCTGCCTCGCTTCTCTTGTGGCCTTTAGAGGATTCCCCCTTTAGTTTCCCTAGTATCCTAGAGGATGTGAGATAGGATCAACTATACCTTTGCATCTCTTCAGAAAGCCAGAGATTGGCAACTGGTGACATCAGCTCCTCCAGGAAAACTTTCTGCCGCTTGTAGTCCTTGAATTGATTGCTGATTAGGACTAGGGCTTCCATAAGGGCACACTTTTCCATTTGTGTCAGGAGCAGCTCATTGGAGAGTAGCTGCTTTACGTGGTTATAAAGCATGTCAAAGTTGGGCTGTAGATTACAAAGGATAGAACAAGGGTTGTAGAGGTTTGGTTTTGGTTTTTTTTGAGAGATTTTAATATGTGAGGGGGTGCGTGTGCATGTGTCTGTGTGTAGAGCCCTCCTAGGCTTCCCCTTGTATTCTGCACACATAACCAACCCCCCCCAAATCATCTGTTATAAAGAAAAAAAAATAGCAAAACTTATTAACACAATGTAAAAATGTGACATTATACACAATGTTTCACTCCCATGGCACCACCTCCTTCTGACAAATGAAAAACAAAGACATCTGCTATAGAGACTGTGTCTGACAACATACACAGTATTCTCTCCTAGCCATCACCCTCTTCCCTTGAGAGTTGAGGAGGCATGTTTCATTCATTCTCTGCTGCAGGACCTTAGCTAAATTTTTCCTTGAATGGCTGAGATCTGCTTTTTATAAGGAAAGCTCCAGATATCCAAAGTAGGCTACAAATAGGGAGCTTAACCAGGTTCTTAATAACTGAGCTCAATGAACTGTTTAAAAATCCTGAGTCCTTCAGGAAGACCAAGTCTACATAATCATCTCTGTAGCAGAAGTTCTCACATTTTCTAGCTGAATCAACTGTGTTACCCAGGCAAAAACTTGTACTTTTCCATGCTATATAAATTGTGAAAACATAGGCAGCTGCCAATCCCATCTGGGCTAATTTTTCTACAGCAATCTTGTTAAAAAACCTCATGGATTAGGGGGCAGCTAGGTGGTGCAATGAATAGAGCTCTGGCTTTGGAGTCAGGAGGACCTGAGTTCAAATCCGGCCTCAGGCACTTGACACTTACTAGCTGTGTGACCCTGGGCAAGTCATTTAATCCTGACTGCCTCACCAAAAAGAAAAAAAAAAGACCTCGTAGATCACGCTGTTTGGCACACATTTCAGGAGGCAAATGCATGTTTTATGTTCCTGGAAGATATGTCAAGCTAATTTATAATCCTGAGAGGGGAGATTAATTTCTTACTAAGAATCTTATTTATTTAGACCGGTGGTTCTCAAACTTTTTGGTCCTAGGATCTCTTTACACTCTTAAAAATATTGGGGACTTTCCAAAGAGTTTTTGTTTATGTGAGTTATCAATCAATATTTACTACATTAGAAATGAAAACATCTTAGTATTATTATGAGAACTGTTTTGACTTTGTAATCCCCTGAAAGGGTTTCAGGGTCCCCCAGACCACAGTTTGAGAACCACTGATTTATCCCATCAAGGTTGTATTCTGTGCCTTGTCTCTCTCAAGGTGAGGCTGTTTCATGCTTGGATACACTTGATAGCAATACCTAAAAGAGCCTTAAATACAAATGCAAAGAATGCACAAACTTACACTGAGAACTAAAGATCATAAGAACATAAACCTCATAAGGAGAGAAGTTTTTCTATAGCAAGAAAAATACATTTGTATTTTTAACTATAGCAAGACAAATTTTAGAGTTTTTCTTTGAAGTGAAGTGTATTTAAGGCCACAGTTAAATAATAATGAAATTAAGCTGAAAGCCAATTACAACAACTTCTTGGCTTTGCTCCAAATCTTACCAGAACAAGTTGAGGATAGTCACGACACATTTTGATGATAGAAGAACATGCATGTCTTCTCACGTTCCTCACAGCACGAGTCCTGGGAGCCTGAAAATTATTTTAGGGGGAAAAATTCACAAGTATTTTACCAGAGCCAGTGGTATACCAGGATGAAGAGTGGAAAAGGTATGGAATTTGAAATTATAGGATCTGTCTTTAAATCCAAGTTCTTCTACTTTCTACCTTGTATGACTCTAAGCAAATTATTTAACCTACCTAAGCCTCAGTTGTCTAATTTATAAAACAAGGGAGTTGAACTATATAACCTCTAAAGGGTCTCTTAGTTCCACTTAGTTCTGTGACTCTTAAGCTATGTTTGCAATCAACATTAACCAAAAGAAACCCAAGACTACTGTGTATAATAAAGTATTAAAACAGAGAAACCTGGTCTTAAAAGGCTGTAGATTACTTGTGAAAATGTTTCAAAAACTTTCTGTGTGTATTCCTAACCTAGACAAGGTATAACTGGGCACACAGTTCTCCATCAAAAAAGGAAATCAAAGAAGACAGGAAATAACTGTCACTTGGACAGGCCTGCTGTGTTGACCTGGAGATGAAAAACATGGCACATGTAACCTCAGTACTGTTTTTCTGTAATCTCAAAAAAAGACCTCTATAATCAGAGAGAAGGAAATTACAAATGTCAACATTTCAATATTATTTCTTAGGATTTGGAAAATGAATTCTCTCTTACCTTACTTTCCTCAATGATTTCAAAAGTGACAGATGAAAATAGCTAAAGGGATGAAAGAAAATGATCATTTCTCAGTTCCAGATATGTATCCCTTAAATAGAAGAGCCAATAGATTCCTAAACTGAATTCCTTCTTAAACTTGCTACCCTTTGAAATGGTACCATTATCTTCCTGGTCAGCTACCCTTACTGTTCCTTCTTTATTTCTCCCCTTTCTAATAATGTCACCAAGTCCTGTCAATTCTATCTCTCTGACATCTTTTATATCTGAACCTTCCTTATCATTTTCATGATAAGAAAGTCACTACTTTCATTTATGACCTCTTTACAGTACACAGGGACTGTTAGATCACTTTCCCAAGTGATCCCTGCTCACTGAACCTTCTAAACCAGAGGTGTCAAACTGAGGGCCAGCAAACTCCATAGCAAGGCCTGAATCAGATTAAATTTGGTATCACTGCCCTAAACCACTGCCAGTTTAATTTTCCTAAAGCACAACTTTGATCACATCACTTTTGCTCAAAAATGCTCGATAGCTTCCCTTGCCTACCAAATAAAATCCAAATTATTCAGCATAGCATTACTGTCCATAATTTCTACACTAGCCAAACTGCTGTCTCCAAAACCTCGAGTGCCTTTGTTCATACTTTTCCCAGTGTCTACAATTATCTCCCCATTCAGTCACCCCTCTTTCTACTTCAAGGTTCAGTTCAAATTGAAGTCACCTCTTCCAATGAAGTCTTATCTGATCTCCCTAGCCAGAAGTAATCTTTCCCTTCCCAAAAGCTTCCACTGTACCTTGTTTGTATCTTTTTTATGCATTTCTATCTGGTAAGGTTATTATGTATATATTTTCTTTCTGTATCTAAATCCTGAACTCCTTAAGGGTGGGAATCATACCTTGCTCACTGCTGTCTCTCTGGTAGGCAGTGAATAAATGTTTGTTGCATAAAAAGTATAATCATTACATAAAAGGAACAAACTTGGTAACATTATGGTAAACTTTACTCACAATGACTACTCATCAGATAGTCATCTTGCAAAAAAAAAATTGCAGAATAATTTTAGATTCACAAAGTACCATCGAGACAATTTATATGACAGAAAAAAAGTTCATGCAATAACTCAAAAAACAAAGATACAAATGGCTACTTACTACATAATAATAGCATTACATGCTTGTTCCCTCCCCCAAAACCATTTATTTTTTTGTCTTCTGTATTACTAATCATATATTTTCTAAATGCTTATGACCATGCCTCAAAAGCAACAAAATCAGTGATTCATTTTGCAAGTAAAGCACAAAAGGAGATAGAGTTGCTTACCTTAGAAAGAACCTGGGGCAGGTACTCTGGTCTGTAACTGACAAATGGAAAGAGTGCTGAAACATTGGTGAGGACACAGGACAAGATGAGGGGATCCTTGGTATTAAAGTTCAGTACAATCTGCAACAGTTCTATGCCATCATTCACTGGAATTTCCTGCAACATTAAAATTTTTTTGAGCATATGGTCATGTTTTCTTTTAAAGTAACTGTTATACGGGGATAAGCCAGAGTGGGAACACAACCTTGAGTCTTACAAAGAATGTAAACTACCTTAAGTAAATGTAAACAGCAAAAGAAGCTCCAACTAACCCTTGGGAAAACTTATATGTGACCCTGGTTCACCCTGGCACTATGCCTCCTTGTTCTGTTTCTATATAATACCTGACATGGCCTGGGGGTGGTGCAGGGATCCATGATGTTACTTTGTCCTGCTACCACCCAGGACAACTAACTTCTTGTGAGGAAACTCTCTTAACAATCCAATTATCCTACTTAATCATAATAAAACCTATTCGTAACCAAGCTAGCGTGAGCCCCTTTTTGTCTGGTATCTCAGTATTCTCTTGCAGGGTATGCCCCCTTACATTTGGTGTAGTGGGCAGGATAATCTGCCCCCTTACAACTGGCTAAGTTCATTCACTCTAGCCCTTGAGTTAAGTTCTATCAAGACTCTTTGACATAAGTTTCTAGATACACAAGCTCAAAAGATCTTTAATAAGCAATAAAATACACTATAGGTTGTCAAGAATTGACGGCACCAAGTAGATAATGGGAGTTCTGGGACGAGAAGGAAAGGAGAAAAAATATTTGGTGATAGTTGTAGACTAGAATGCTATAGTAACACATCTGTATTTTAGTCATTTGGGTCTACTATGTGTTTATTTTTACTTGAATATATGTTGACACACTTTGATTAAAAAACGGTTTTCAGGTTGTTAAGTTTACCTACCAAACACTTAATTCTTTGGACTTCTACCTATAAAAAGCAGGATTCTACAATTCTAAGTATGAAGGCAATAATAATTTACTATGAGTACTAAAAAATGAACGAAATTATGGAATTCAGGTGTCTTCATGACATTGCTTTCTCTTCAAAATTTAATATGATCATCTTTCCCTGGGAGGTAGTCTTCTCTTACATGCACTCTAAATTTATTTTTTTTTAAAGTGATTACCAGAAGATTAAGTAAACTGATAAAATCAAGTTTCTGAAACAGCAGGTAAAACTCTGGACCTAGGAAGTTCTACAAAGATGCAGGCACTTTATAAGATTAGGCCTGAGAAGTCAGTCAAGACACTCATTCTCTCATTACTACTTCCTAACGACAACTACAACATATTATATGCAAGTGTAATGTTCTGCAGTTTGTTTGCTTAAGAATTTCCCCTTTTCTCCATCTAAAGAAAAATTACTCAGAAGTCAAATATAACCTTTACTGTATGATTTCCAATGTCTAAAAAAAATCTGTGATTATGCTAGCAATAGGTATTGCTTTCTTCAATGCACCTCACAGTCCCTCTATAACTGACTTGGGAATCCTTTAAGAGCTGTAAAAGAGCTAATTATTATCCAGTATGCAAACTGGCAATGAACCTCTCTAGACGTAGCTAGACTAGCCTTCAAATGACAAATAGTTCATCACTGGGCCTGTGCTGTAAGCTTTCACAACTTGGTAGGACTTGCCAGAGCTTGTGTTCCACTGGCATGATCTTTTTTTTTTTTTTCTGGAGAGGCAATCGCAGTTAAGTGACTTGCCCAGGGTCACACAGCTAGTGAATATCATGTGTCTGAGACCGGATCTGAACTCAGGTCCTCCTGACTCCAGGGCCGGTGCTCTATCCACAGTAACATCTAGCTGCTCCCACCGGCATGATCTTTGACAGGACTAAGTCACTTCCCTGACATAAATGAGCATAGCAAGTCTTCAAACTCCAAACAGTTGGGGGAAGCTGGTAAAATGCAGACAAATCTATGAGGCACTAGGCCAATACACACTGATGAGGTTTATCAGGAAATGATTAATGATGGAATGTTAGGAAAAAGAAGAAAATATTTAAACAAAATCAATGTAACCAAGATTATAAGGAAAGCAGAAAACTGGGGGGAAAATTTATGGAAAGTTTCTCTGATAAAGGCCTCATTTCTCAAATATAAACTTAGTCAAATTTATAAAAATATGAGTCATTCCCCAACAGATAAATGGTCAAAGATATGAACAGGTAGTTTGCAGACAAAGAAATCAAAGCTATCTATAGCCATACAAAAAAATGCTCTAAATCACTACTGATTAGAGAAATGAAAATTAAAAGAACTCTGGGGTATCACCTATCAGATTGGCTAATGTGACAGAAAAGGAAAATGACAAATGTTGGGACATTAATACAGTGCTGGTGGAGTGGTGAACTGATCCAGTCATTCTGAAGAGCAATTTGGAACTATACCCAAAGAGCTATAAAACTGTGCATACCTTTGATCCATCAATACCACTATTAGATCTATATTTCAAAGAGATTTTTTAAAAAAGGAAAAGGACCAATTTGTACAGAAATATTTATAGCAGCTCTTTTTGTGGTGGCAAAGAACTGGAAATTAAGGGAATTTCTGTCAATTGGGGAATGGCTGAACAAGTTGTGGTACATGATTGTAATGGAATATACTGTGCTATAAGAAATGATGAGCAAGCCAATTTCAGATATACCTGGAGAGACTTACATGAAATGACGCAAAGTGAAGTGAGCACAATCAGAACACTGCACACAGAGACAACAATTGTGTACAATGATCAACTGTGAATGACTCAGCTATTCTTAGCAAGACAATGATACAAGACAACACTGAAGGACTTACGATGAAAAATGCTATCCACTTCCAGAGAAGGAGCTGATAGAGTCTGAGTGCAGACTGAAATACACTATTTTTTACTTTTTTATTTTTCCTGGGTTTTGTTTTGGTCTGTATTTTCTTTTGCAAAATGGCTAATATGGAAATATTTTGCATGACTGCACGTGTATAATCTCTATTAAAACTGTTTCCCTTCTCAAGGAAGGGGGAGGGGAAGAAGTAAGGAGGAAAGGAGAAAATCTGGAACTCAAGATTTTAAAAAACAAATGTTAAAAATTGTTCATGTAACTGGAAAAAAATCAAATATTTTTTTTTAAAAAAGAAAATTTCAAATCCTCTAGTTCAACCTCCCCTTTTTATTGATGATGAAACTAGGCCCAGGGACAAATCAGTTGTCAAATAAGTAAATGGTAAAGGTCTGACTAGAACATAGGTCAATTGCTCTCAATACAATGCTCTTTCTACTATACTATGTTTGTTGAGTTGAGGTAACACTAGACGGCTTCTAGGGCACCCATAGGAGCATAGAACTCCTAGTTATACAACACCTGCCCAACTCCTAAAGCTGAACCCTTAGGAAAGTCTTTGAACTAACAGTTATACAAAATTGCCTAACAGCTCAGATAATCTGAACACAATCTCTAGGAGCTCTACTTAGGAAGTGGCAGCTGTTTCCCACTGCCCAACGTATCACATTTATATTCCTCAGTCTAAACATGCAAAGATCTCCATCCTTCCACACCTGCCTGACTTAACTTGCTACTTACCAAGATATTTTTTCTGCTCCTAACAGACCCATTTTGTTACTGCCTTCTGTATCTGTTGCTTAATTCTGACTGTTAATGTGTTTTCATTGCCAGAAATCCCATCCTGCTTCTCTGAAAATCTATCACCCAAGTGAAGATTTCTTTTCCAGAACATTTTTTGCTGACTCGCTAAATATTTTCCATAACTCGGTATATAGGTTTGATCACATGACTATATTCTTGTTCCCCGTATGCCTTGTACCCCCAATTAGATTGTAAGTTACCCAAAAGAAAGGGATCAAGTCTCCTTTTGTATCCTTCAAAATGTCCAGTCCAGTTCTCTGAACACAGCATGTGCTATAAACAAACATTTGCTGAATGAATGAACGCTTATTGTGAAGTCTGGTCAGATCTTCAGAGCCTGCTCTGGAATTGAGTTAGCCTTCAGGGCCAGAGGTTTGTGGTTCTGCTTATCCCACTATTTATATACCTGCATCTGGCTAAGCTTAGAAATAGAGGCTTTTGGGCTAAGAGTGCTACATTTAATAGATGGACAGATTAAGTAACCAACCCTCTTTTCCCACAGAGGCCTTATGATAATTCTAAAATCATGCAAACAATGGGGACAAGGTACTTACTTCTTTATCTAAAGTTCGAAACATCTGGTTAATCACACTTTCTGAAAAGAAGGTCATGGCATCCCATTGTACAAAAGAGGGAGAGAAGATTGAACATAGGCCTTCTCCGGTTCTAGCTGTATAAACAGAATAGGGCAATGAAATATCTAATAAATAAAATTAGAGAGCTATGATATCACCTAATCTAAATCCATTTTACAGATAAAGAAACTCCGTATAACATAACTCCTTTCTTCTAGTAGCGTCTGGCATATGGTTGGTGTGTAATACTTGTTAACAGAATGCCTATAGGTTATACAAGCAGCTGATTAATCCAACATTTGGGACCTAATATAATTCCAAGGTTTTTCCAATAGTGATGGATTTGTATGAATTCATTCACATACTTTTGCCCCATTCTCACCTATTTTTTTTTTTCAAAACTTATTAACAGTCTCTGGATTTCACCTCTTTAATATTCAAATGTTAATCTGAAGGTTACAAAAGCTTAGTAGGAGTCTGGTTATAACAGAGACCAATCAACGTAAAATAACAAATTATTTATTGATTTAACACTAAAGGAAAATTGGGAAGAGCATTTCAATATCAACCTTTCAGTTCAAATAAATTTAATATGCAGTGGTGACTCATTTGCTTTATGAAATGGAAGGTTTAGGTACATTGGCAGAACTGTTCTTTCAAGTGAGAATATGCACAAAGCAATTTGCAACTTTAGTCAACCAACCAATCAAAAAACATTTACTAAAGCAACATAAAATTGTCATTTATCATTATTATCATTAAATACTTTTAGGATTTAAGTTGTGGGTATTAGGATTTTTCTGCTTTCAGTTCTGATAATCTTTTTTTTCTCTTCTGACTGGATTCAAGTATCAGCATGGAAACATCAGCCAACATGATGTGCAAATGGAAAGGAATAACCTTCAGAGTAGTACCAAGGCACAGGAAGTAGTACTTCTGACAAAGTGTTTTGATATTCCCTAAAAACTGTACTTAAGAGCTTGGTAGGAAACATTAGAGATACCCTAGAAGAAACAGTTCTAGCCTAACATTTTCCCTGTCACCCTGTCGCTAACATTTAGCAATTTTAAAAATCTTTATAGTTGAAAATCAAACTTACAGTTCATTGGCCCAGTATCCACAGGTGTTGAAAGCTGGTACTTCAACCACTCCCCAGCCATCTGAAAACCAGTTTTGGGATCCAGGCGACAGGCCATTCTTATTACCTCTCCCTGCTGAGCTCGGAATGCTGCCAATGAATGGGAAAGAAATCAGACCTGGATCCCAGGAAGGGCTAGGCTTTGTGTTCTACACGTAAGACTATTTGCTAAACGAATTAATGAATCCCAAAACACCAGCAGCTGGGTTCTCTAAGTGGCAGCCTAATATCGGTTCCCTACTTTTATTGGTATGAGAAAGGCAGCAGGCTACAGTAGACCTAGGACTGGGCTATGGTAAAAATAATGGGCTTTCCTCTGCTCTGAAAGAAGGAACTAGACATTGAATAGTATCATAAATATCATGTTCAAGCAAAATAGAGTTTAAATATAGGAGAGTAAAGAAAATTAGATAGGACATACTGGAAGAGAGCACTCTGAGCACACTTTAGTAGTGTGAAATCTAGGGCTCCAGAAAGCTGTGTTGAGAATTTAGAGATCTTCCTGATAAAGAGCCCCAAGGTCTTAAAGTGTGACATAACATAACAAGTATTATCCCAAGGCTCATAAAAGGAAGATATTCCAAAATCACTTACAGTTGAAGAAGGCATTGAAGTCCTCGTCACTGTCAAAGTCAAATTGAGAATATTCACAGCTAGCGCTATCTGTTTTAGAGGGAAAGCCAATCTGAAAGAGATACCAACCCAGGGGTAGGGAATGAAAATAGACATTGTGAATTTTGGTTCAGCCCTCTGGGTCATAGAAAAATGTTAGGGGAGAAGCCTGAAAAATGCTAGCTTTTAAATTAGGGAGATGTAATTCAATGTTAAAATTGTGAATGAGGGGAGGCATATTGTCTCTAGTAACTACCAAGTCTGCTATATCCCAAGTCTATAGTTCATTTCTAGATCTAAGGTCTGAAATATCAACATTCTTTTCCTAGTTCCTTAGGGAGAATTCTAACCAATGATCTGTTTAGTGCCTTTGACTATAAAGCTTGAGGATTAAGGAATAATTTAAATCAAACAAAGAAGGGCCTAGGAACACATTCCATATCAAGTACCAAGCCACTTCAGGAACAAACACAGGAATTTGTGTTGAAGGCTCCTAGAGAGACCTTAAATCTGACAAGTACAGCTTGATGGAACCTGTCAGGGAATTCTCTCTAGCAGATTTCTGTAGCTTGGACCTTTGAATGGAAAAGCCCTTTCCCTGGTTCTTTACCAGGTTAAGGCCAAGAACAATCAATTGCTAAGTATTACTCACTAATAATCCCAAGGGGGCATGTTGAATATTTGTCTACTGAAGCAGAGTAAGCAATCTTTGCTAGAGAATCTATAGTGACACTAAACAGATAGGCAGAAGGAGCTCTCCATGAGGAACTAGGAAATGTTATTATCTAAGGAAGTTATTTTGGTTCTTAACTGGTTCCAGTGAAAAAATCTTATATCTTTATAGCTATTTGTCTACAATCAACACATTCAACTATTATTACATACCTTCACCAAGTTAGTCATAGAGGCACGGAGATATTTGGGGATCATTCCTAAAAGCAGAGGGTCTCGGGATAAGATTTCATGCCGGAAAAGGGCTCCCCAAGTGATCTGAGTTGATGATCGAAGAAACTGAAGATAAAATTTAAAAGACCTATATGTTTAAAAGGACCTGGAATCTATAAGGGGTTAAATTTTTACCCCTACACATATTAAAAAAGGTTGCAATTAAGAGACTCATTTTTAGCTTCTAACAAAGGAACTACAATGGCCATTTATCTGATCCTTGAGAGCAGAATAATAATTACAGTGGTAACAGCTGATATTCATATGGACCTTTAAAATTTGCCAAATATTTTGTTTCATTTGAGCCACAAACACAACCCTGAAGACTTACAGTTATCATTACTGCCATTCTACAATTTAGAAAACTGAAGGAGTGACTCATCTGTAGTCCCACACGATGTGTTTATTAGTAGGGTTTGAACTGAAGTCTTCCTGAGTCTATGTACAACACACAGCATGTCTCACTCATATTTCATGTAATAGGAAGTAACCTTACTGTAAATATGAAGGTACAGCTGCTAAAATTACAAAATACAGTTGACAATGTTTTGCCTTGAACTAAGGCCAAAATATAGTTTATGTTAAGACCTAAAAATCTATTTCCGAAAGTATCTTCTGCCTTCATATTACTTACCTGGCTTGGATGGGTTGTAAAAGCCAGAAAAGACTCCAAGTACTTTCCAAGGTTGGCTGGTGTTTCAACATCACAATCAGTGCCCTGTTGCAAAAACATTATTTTAAAGGCTACTGACAGCAGAAAATTCACAACAAATGCAGTTTCAAACTCTGGAAATATAGTTAAAGAGCCAGGGAAAGGCAACATTACCTAGGCAAACAGCTTCATTAAAAAAATATTCTACAGTAAAATATTATAACTGGGAATGATCATTTCCAGTATGATACGAATGTTTCATTAAAAAAAATTTTTTTAATCTACTAAGAGCCAGAAGAAAACTGAAAACTCTTAACACAGATGGAAGCTTTAATTTTCCAAGCTTAGTTCATTCTCACTGACAAGTCTCAACATTTAACCATATTACTCAATAGCTCATTCATTAATACTTGTTTCTGATCATCCATCTCAACCTCTTCTGAGTTAGAACAAAAATGCATCATTAACAGCAAATTAATAAAACATTTCCAGAGTCTTGGAGTTCAATGTGGAAGTCTAAAAGCAACCATCAAGTCCTCATTTCCCATAAAATGAGCTTTTTATACACTTGCTCAGCCTACAGCTTCTATTTCCAAGTTAACAGGCAATAATACCACTTAACCTAAAGAATATTCTCTTCATATATTAGCCTTTTGTGTTAAAGTGAGACCACAAACAAGAGATATACTACAGTGATTAGTGCTTTAGAAAAAGTATTTTTCTTTGTGTTTTACAATCCTGAATAGCAACTTTAATTTCATTTAGTAAGACATAATTATATAATATTACTATATAATTAGTATAATTATGTAATAACATTACAATTGTATAACATATAATAATATAATTGTGTACAGTATCTGTTCATTAGCAACAGACTAGTTAAAGGAAATCCTAAACTCAAATCCCATTACAGTCAAAGAAATTAAAGTAGTCTGTAGGACAATCTTCCCACACCAAGTTCAGATTAATGGCTAGTACCACATATAAATCAAAGGAGATAATTTCTAAGTTCCTGTCCCTGATGGCATCACTGCACGCTCAAAGGGTGGCAAATACTTCAGACTTCAATGGTCCTTGCAGAATGCTTACCAGTAAAGCACATAGTTGGCTGCCTAAAGCGCACAAGACCTGACAAAGTCTCTTCAAGAAAACATAGTGTTTTTCTACCAGGCCTCCACCATCAGCAGTCCTAAGAGAGAACAGATGAAAGAGGTTCTGAGTTTGGAAAGACTCAATGGTTAAACAAGCATAAATGGGAGTGGCCCTTTCTTCTGTCTCCTTATATGAATTATATTCTAAATAAGATAAAAATGTTGGAGGAAAAAGAAATAAGCAATTTTGCTAAATATAACCATACTTCTCAAAAGACAAATCCATCTATTATATTCTCTAGTTTTAACAGTCATAAAATTCTGGTTCTTTTTTCATTCAAAACTGATAGTTTGGGGCATGAATCTATAAACAATACAGTTACACTTAAAAATACTGGATGATAATTAGAGAGGACTCAGGGACATCCTTGGGAGAGAGAAGTGGTAAAAACTGAAAATTACAAAGTGCAAGGGACCATGGTTGTTGAAATCAGACTCTCTGTCTCTGTACAATATTTTACATTACTGAAGGATGCCAAAGGGATAATATTTAACTGGAGTTGAAGTACTTTTTTAGCCACGCCGGATTTAGCAGCGGCAACATGAATCGTCAATATCCCACGTCCCTACCTTTTGACAGGGAAAAAATCTAGGCATTCTGACATAATGTGACCCCAGGTTTTTCTGATTAAAGTTAACAAAGAAAGGTTCAGAACAGGCAAGGTTATATTGCTCCTATCTTCTACTCTCATCAGAAGACAGCCGAATAATTGTGGTCAGTGCTGCATTGCAGAAAGGATACTGGTAATCCAAAGAAGGTTCAGAGAAGAAATAACACGATGAGGGCACTGGAGACCATGCCATCTGAGGGAACGAGAGCTGTTTCTTCTGGAGAGAAGACCCATTTAAAGGGGCATGAGCTCTTTATTCTACTATCAAAGGGCTATCCAACGGAAGAAGGATCAAAATTTGTTCTTCCTGGCCCTAGAGGGTAGAACTAGGAACAACGGATGGAAACTGGAGGAAGGCAGATTCCAGATCAATATACTCAGATTTTGAGGCATTAATACTGGTGAGTTGTGGAAAAGATGACAAATTCTTTGTTCTGACCGTTTACTTTTTTTACTTAGCAGAAAGTACTTAATTTGTACTATCTTATATAGAGGCCTCTGAGGTTCCTTATGATTCTTTGATTCTCTCCATGTCCTTATCTGAAGGACTTAGGTAGTACAATGGATAGAGTACTGGGCCTGGAATGAGGCAAGAGATCAAATTTCTACTCAGATAACTTAATAGCTGAGTAATCCTTGGCAAATCACATAAACTGTTTGCCTCAGTTTCCTCAACTGTAATATGGGGAGAACAGTACCTCCCTACCAGGGTTGTTGTAAAGATCAAATGAGTTAATACTTTTAAAAGTGCTTGGCACAGTGCCTGGTACATAGCAAGTGCTACATAAATGCTATTATTACTGTACACAATAAAGCATAATAAACATTCCTCAGTTTTAAAAATTTTTTAATCTTTAAACTTCCCAACTAAATTGAGCTTTTCAAGGAGATATCAAGTAGTCTCACACAGTGTCTTCCATTTCTTTTACACAGGGACTTAATATGACTGACAGACTAAAGTGAAATCCATACCCATTACATCCCATATAGATTACTGGACAATTGCTGGTCACCACTGGCCTAAAACAGATTAGAAGTAATGACAAACGTGGACTTATTAAAGCTGATTTTTTATTGTTAACTACTGGCTAGGATGTAGAAGTTTTTTTACTAAGCAACTTGGAAATATCACTCATGGAAAATGTTAGGTAAAATCCAGTTAAGTATATTCATTATTTTTTTTAAAAAAAAGCTATCCCACCTGACAGCACTCAGAAGTGGGCCAAGAAATTAAAACTGGAATTCCATGATAACTACGTAGATCTCAAAGACCTTTTTAACTCTTCATGAATTTCATAAAACTAGAAAAGAATGGTAGCAAGCAAAATAGTCCTGGAGAGCCACAATCTGAGATGAGACTATGACTGCTCTGCAGACCACAGAAGCTAAAAATCAGGCAGAACACTGATGATGTGTCAAAAAAAAAAAAGCCTAGTTAACACGATCTCTCTCTTCAGTCACTACTATTCCACATGAGGAAAAAACTATTAGGAATAAAATGTTTAACTAGAGAGGACCTATCATAAGCCCTAAAGGCATTTATACATTTTCTAGATACATATGCTCTTTTACTGTATGAATCCCTATGAAACAGGGACCTCGAACTCAGGAGAGAATCAGGGTCAAAGAAAGGGGGCTACAATCAGCAATTTAATAAATTTCTAAGATACCCTCCATCCCCTAGCTGGTTCCCTGGCACAAATCTAACCTAAAAATACACCCTAGTATTTACCTAAACAAATAGGGGGTAGGGAAGTTTTAAGTTATTACATAAACATTTACATCATTTAAGAATAACATATAATATGTACATAAAACCCAGTATTACAAGAGCAGAAAAAATTACTGAAGACAATCCTTTGACTGTTAGCATATGATGGGTCTATAAAACAGAATTATGAACACATGTGGTTCCACTCTTCGAAGCAATCACCAAGGCCACCAAGAGGCCAATGGATCATGAAGGAATGGAGAAAGCAAAATACAAGAGTTCTGAAAAGACAGACAGTCTGGAAAGAAATACATAAACTAAAGGATACTATACTGTAAAGAAAACTAAGGGTATTGCAAAACTATTTCTAGCACTGAATTTTCCAAGAATACTGAGCATTGTCCTTGAGAATTGCTTTGGTATCTTACCCAAAATATCTCCATGGTATATGAGCTGACAGCATTTGGGGGAGAAGAATTCAGATATGCAGTATCCCAGTAAGGAGACACCAGTAGCAATGGACTTAGAAAACATTCTGTTCACAATGAGAAGATACTTACTGAGCAGCGGAGAGTATATAATGCATGGCAACATCTCCAAACAAGACCATTAAAGGCTTCCGGTCTTCCAACCTACCCTAGACAAAATCAAGGGAAACTTAGATCAAAATAAAGTTGTGGGTCAAAATATACCACTCACTCCTCTCATCAAGATCCTCAAAATCTTGATTATCTACTACTTTCAGTGCACATTAACTACACAAAAACATACCGTTACATGGCTTCTCAGATGCAACAGGATTAATTAAGTACTGGGTTGATGGCAAATTTGGTTTAAAAATTTAACATCTATGTACTCTTCTACATACTAAACAGGAGAGCTAGAAGATCATTACAACTGGCTTTTAAGATGAAGTTAAGGTCCACATGGCAGTATATAATCAATATCTAATAAATTTAGCACTGCTCAATAGTGAAATTTCAAGATTCAGAGCTGCTGTAATAAATGAAAAAATAAGTAGAGTGTGGTCTGGAAAGTTCATTTACATTTTGACAACTGACCTCCATAAGGACACAGAAATACACAAGAAACATCATCTAAAGATGCAGTAAGGAGACAGGTTTAGTTAACCTCAAATAGAAAAAAAGTCAAACTCTTAAAGCTTGCCTGGAGAACTATGTAATAAAACACAGGTCTGGTCTCCTCTAGCCTAAAAACATCTTCTCTCAGATTTATGTTCCTCAAACTATCGTCTCCCTTCATCTGTTGCCAACTATCTAGGGAAGAGTCTACATTTATTGTAGCCACTTTTACCTGAATTTCAGCCCTCAAAATCTGCCTCTCCTAACTACTCCCTCCCTCAACCAACTGAGAACATAAGAAAAAAAACAAAACAACCCAAAACATGATAAACATATACAATCAGTGAAAATGAAATTTCCACATTGTCCACATCCAAAAAAATTGTTCATTCTGTATTCTGAATCCTTCGTTTCTAGCATGTTTCTTCATTAATTGTGGTCATCACACTGATGAGTTCAGCTCAATGGTACTCTATTATAATTACATGCCTTAATGTGTTCATTCTACAACTGACAGGCATCGCCTCAGATTCCCCTTCTTTGCCACATCAAAAAGAGCTAGAAATATTTTTATATATTTTTAGAGTTCCTTTTGCTTAGGACTAATCCCTTCCTTAATCTACCCTCACATCTCCCCCTCTCACCTTATTTCCCAATTAAATGAAATGTATTTCTGTATCTAATTCTCTGTGTATGTGTATTGTTCCTTTGACCAGTTTAGATGAGAGGAAGGTTCAAATGTTAACTGCTCCCTCCCACCCTCCTTCCTCCTTGCTTTACAGATGTTTACCTGTATATCTTGATTACATGAGATAAGTTTCCTAACCTTTTTCCTTCCTCTCTACCAGAGTATATTTCTCTTCCTATTATTTTTTTTAAATAGACCATCAAGATGTAACAGAACCACTCCTGGACCCTGGCTACTTGGACCCTCTCTACGAACTCTGTTAACAACAGGGTTCAGACACATGCATCATCTCTCTGTATCTGAATGTAAACAATTTATTCTTGCTTAAATCCCTTATCATTGATCATTCATGTTTACTTTTTAAGGTTTCTCATCACTTCTGTGTTTGGATTTCAAAGTTTCTATGCAGCGTCATTCTTCTCATTAGAAATGTTTGTAAATCTTCCATTTCATCAAAGGTCCATTTCCTCCCTGAAGCATTATACTCAGTTTTGCCAGGTAAGTTATGCTTGGCTGTGAGTCCTTATGTCTTGCACCTTCTGTAATACTGTATTCCAGGTTCTCCACTGCTCTACAGTGGTAGCTGCTAAATCACACAGGATCCTGAATGTGGCTTCTCAGTACTTGAATTCTTTCTTTCTAGCTGCATACAATATTTTTTCTTTGACCTGGAAACTCTGGATTTTGGCTAAGATGTTCCTGGGAATATTTTTGCTTCTCCTTTAGGAGGCGACTAGAAGATTCTATTTCCACTTTGCTCTCTGATGCAAGAGATCTGGGCAGTTTTCTTTTAATATTTATTGAAATAGGAAGTCTAGATTCTTTTTTTGGTCATGGGGTTTAACTATTCCAATGATTAATTTTCTTCTCCTCTATTTTCCAAGTCAGTTATTTCTGTTATGAAATATTTACATTTTCCTTCTTCCTTTTTTCCTAGCTTGACTTTTGCTTGTAGATGTTTTGGGAATAACTCTCTTCTGGGTTTGTATCAAGCTTCTCTGCCACCATAACAGCTTTTTTATGGTAGGATTCTTTTTAGTTTGGCCATTTCTTCCAGCCTGCTTTTGTTATCAGGGCTGGGCTCATCTGGGCCAGTCCTGTTGTTGCTTTGCTGAGAGTACTGAGTGTTGTTATTATTTCCAGATCTCAGGGCCAGACTGGGGACCCTGAAGCTTTTATTGTTCCCAGAGTGATCTGATGTAGGGCAAAGTCTGATTTGTTGCCTACCTGGTCTGAACTCTGCAAGGTATTGACCTAGGTTTAGGTCTGAATATAAAGCAGATGCTGCTGGACTCAGCCCATCAGCTGGTTGGAAAGCTCTGTTGCCTCAGTGTGACAGAATCATAGGTTCCTCTTTGGTTTGGGATTCCTGCCTTGGCTATTTCTCCGCAGGCTATGCTAGAAGCTGGAAATGAGACCCTGCTCTGCCCCTGGGGTCTAAGCCACACTGCTGCTGTTAACTTCTGGGGGCCTCCCTAAGTGGTAACACCAATCTCATGCACAGATTCCCTTCTAAGGTTGCCCTGGATCTATGACCCAGAACTGAGTAGTGAGTGACAAAGCTGCCAGTTCAGACCTGTCATTTTTTTCTATTTAAAACATTTTATTTTTTCCTGATTACAAGATAGTTTTAAACAATTGTTTTTTAAAAAAAACATTTTGAGTTCCAAATTTTCTCCCCTTCCCTCCTCACCTCCCCACTCTGAGGCGGTAAGTAATTTGATATAGATTATACACATGCAGTCAATGCAAAACATATTTCCATATTAGCCATGTTCCAAAAGAAAACAGACCAAAAAAACCCCCCAAGAAAAATAAAAACAGTATGTTTTGATTTGCACTCAGATTCCATCAGTTCTTTCTCTGGAGGTGGAAAGCATTTTTCATCTTAAGCCCTTTAGTATTGTCTTGGATCACTGTATTGTTGAGAAAACCTACATCATTCACAGTTGATCATTGTACACTAGTGACGTTTCTGTGTACAATACTCTCCCGGTTCTGCTCACTTCACTCAGCGTCAGTTCAAGTAAGTTTTTCCAGCTTTTTCTGAAATTTATCTGTTTATTTCTTACAGCACAATAGTATCCCATTACAATCACGTACCACAACTTTTCAGCCATTCCCCAATTGATGGGCATCCTCTCAATTTCCAATTCTTTACCACCACAAAAAGAGCTGCTATGAATATTTTTGTACAAATAGGTCCTTTTCCCTTAGATCTCTCTCAGATACAGATCTAATAGTGGCATTGTTGGATCAAAGGTTGCTGGATCAGTTTTATAGCCCTTTGGGCATAATTCCAAATTGCTCTCCAGAATGGTTTAATTGGCTCCCAACTCCACAAACAGTGCATTAGTGTCCCAATTTTTCCATATGCCCTCCAACATGTCATTTTCCTTTTCTGTCATATTAGCTAATCTGATAGGTATGAAGTGGTACCTCAGAGTTGTTTTAATTTGCATCTCTCTAATTAAAAGTGGTTTAGACCATTTCTTCATGACTATAGACAACTTTGATACTGCCTGTTCATATCCTTTGACTATCAATTGGGGAATTACTCTTATTTTTATAAATTTCACTCAATTCTCAATGTTCGAGAAATGAGACCTGTATCAGAGAAATTTGCTGCAAAAATTGCTCCCCAGCTTTCTGCTTTCCTTCTAATCCTGGCTGCAGTGGTTTTGTTTATGCAAAACCTTTTAAATTTAATATAATCAAAATTATCCATTTTACATTTAGTAATGCTCTCTTACTCTTGTTTGGTCATAAATTCTTCCCTTCTCCATAAATCTGACAGGTAAACTATTCTTTCCTTTCCTAATCTGCTTGTGGTATCACCTTTTATGTCTAAATCACGTGCCCATTTTGATCTTATCTTGGCATGGTATAAGATGTTGGTCTATACCTGCCATGCTGTTTTCCAGTTTTCCCAGTAGTCTCTGTCAAATAGCGAGTTCTTGTCTCAAAAGCTGGTGTCTTTGGATTTATCCAACACTAGTACTATGGTCACTTACTACTGTGTCTTGTGTACCTAATCTATTCCTCTGATACACCACTCTATTTCTTAGCCAGCATCAGATAGTTTTGAGATGACTGCCACCTTATATAATATAGTTTGAGATCTGGTACAGCTTTCTTCACTTTTTTTTTCCTCATGAATTCTCTTTATATTCTTGACCTTTTGTCCTTTCAGATGAATTCTGTTAATACTTTTGCTAGCTCTAAAATAAAGTAATTTTTTGGTAGTCTAACTGGTATGGCACTGAATAAATAATTTGGGTAGAATCATCATTTTTATTATACTGGCTCAGCCTATCCATGAGCAATTCATATTTCATCAACTGTTTAGATCTGACTTGATTTGTGTGAAAAATGTCTTGTGATTGTGCTTATATAGCCCTTGGGTTTATCTTGGCAGGCAAGACTCCCAACTATTGTATATTGTCTACAGTTATTTTACACATAATTTCTCCATCTCTTGCTGCTGGACTTTGTCAGTAATAAAAATGCTGATGATTTATGTGGGTTTATTTCATATCCTGCAATTTGCTCAAGTTGCAAATTATTTCAACTAGTTTTTCAGTTGATGCTCTAAGCACACCATTATATCTGCAAAGGGTGAGTTTTGTTTCCTCATTACCTATTCTAATTCCTTCAACTTCTTTTTCTTTTCTTAATGTTATAGCTAGCATTTTAGGTGAAACACTGAATAGTGGTGATAATGGGCATCCTTGATTCACCCCTGATTTTACTGGGAAGGCATCTGCTTATCCCTATTATAGATAATGCTTATTTTAGACAGAAACAACTTATTATTTCAAGGAAAGCTCCATTTATTCCTATGCTTTCCAGTGTTTTTAATAGTAA